AGCCCAGCAATCTTACCCATAGGTATTTTCCCAAGAGAAATGAAAACTTATGTTTACACAAAACCTATACATGAATGTTCAGAGCAGCTTTATTCAGAATTGCCAAAGACTGGAAACAATGCAAATGGTTTTAACTGGTGAATGGATGAACAAATCGTGGTATAGTCATACAGTGAAATACTACTCAGCAATAAGAAGAACGTACTGCTGATCCATGCAATGACATGGATGGATCTCAAAAGCATTGTACTAAGTGAAAGAAGCCAGTCTCAAAAGGCTAGGTACGTACTCCATGATTCCATTTATATGATATTTTGAAAAAGATAAAACTATAGGGACAGAAAACAGATCAGTGGTTGTGAGGGGCTGGAGTGGGGAGGGGGAGATGTTCACTACAAAGGGCACAAGGGAATTTTGGGAAGTGATAGAACAGTTCTATATTTTGTTTGTGATGGTGGTTACACAACCAGTACACATTTGTCAACACTCATAGAATTGCACACTAAAAAGAGTGGATGTCACTGTATGTAAATGATACTTCAATAAACCTATTTAAAAATTGGTACAATTTATCATGACATTAAAAACAACAAATGCCTAAGAATGAATCTAACAGAAGATGTACAATATCGCAACATGGAAAACAAAAGAGCATTCCTGAGATAAAGAAAAGCTAAATAAACGCATGGATGTACCAGGTTTATTGTTTGGAAGTCAAAACATTATAAAAATGTCATTTCCCCCAATTGATCTTCAGAGTCAATGCAATCACAATAAAACTGCCAGCAGATCATGTGTGTGCACGTTTCAAAAAAAAATAATAGAATGAGGAGCTCTGCTCAAAGCATAGAAAAGTGATAGACATGCCATGATAGGTACTCTGAATTACCTAGAGGAGTGGCCAGAGGGAATTGTCAAATCTGCCAAAATCAACAATGGACATGTAGTTAAAGAAAATCAAGAATCTCAAGGATAAGGGCAAAACCAAGAAAAGTCAACATACTGATTATATTAACAGATGGGGAACAAAGCATGAGCTACAACCTAAACTAGGCCTTTTGGTTAATATGTACTGTGCGAGGTGCTCGTATATCCATTATCTCCATAACTATCAAAACCACCATTACAAGTTGATAAGAAGCCACTGTTATTTCCATTTTGTAAATAAGAAAGCCACAGCTTTGTAAGGCTAGGTGTCTTTCCCAAGGTCACAAATCCAGTGAATGACAGATTTATTATGCACATCTATTGCTCCCAGTTTGCTCTTCAGGAGGGGTGTGACTAATGAACCAAAATTGCTAAGCTTTATAACACTTCACAGTCAGACTTAGTGAAGCATGAAGGCCTGAAGACTGTGTCATGCTACGGGCTACGATTCCTGCAAGTGAGAATCAAGAAACCAGCACTATGTAGCTGATGTCACACAATTTGGGGAAAAGGGTGTCATTGTAGAAAAAGTAGGAAAAAACTAAATGATGAATTAGAAATCAGTGAAGGCATGAAACTTGATTGAGATTACAGTTCTTCATCCTCTATTAATACAGCCAAAGGTAAGAAATATAAATCACAAGATGTTCATATGCTACATGAAAAGAAAATTTCTAATATCATGTATCTTACAGCAGCCTGAGCACGAGGAACAGCCATACAACTGTCTGATTTCTATGTGGTAAAATGCAGCTGGTTTCATGGTTGGGCCACCGCTTTTTGGAGCCCTGGTCAGAGATGACTGCAGCTTATGGCAGCTTGGTGCACAGGTTAAAGGCTGCTTCTCGAGTGACAGGTCTACATACGGAAATGACATCAAGCAAATGGCAGAGATGCTGACCTTAACTAAAGATAAACTGGAAAGTCTCCAACTGCTCAAATGTTAGGGAAAACCACCTTTATAAAGCTATGAGGGGGTCTTGGTGACACCACAGACCACGGAGGTGTTCGCAGCCAGATTTCTGGCAGGCCAACACCAGCCAGCAGGCTTATAATAGGCAGAGGTGGCTTCAGGGTGCAGCCTGATGCAACTTGACTGTACATGCCAGTTAGAACACTCGGTATAGTTGTAGGGAGCAGTGACCTTGGCTGATAGCGGATGGCCAAGACCCAGTAAGAAGTAGCTAAGGGGGAAAGGCCCAGTGGAGTAGCGGTTAAGTTCTCATGTTCCGCTTCTTGGCGGCCCAGGGTTCGTCAGTTCGGATCCCGGGTGCAGACATGGCACCGCTTGGCAAAAGCCATGCTGTGGTAGGCGTCCCAAGTATAAAGAGGAGGAAGATGGGCATGGATGTTAGCTCAGGGCCAGTCTTCCTCAGTAAAAAGAGGAGGATTGGCAGTAGTTAGCTCAGGGCTATTATTCCTCAGAAAAAAAAGAAGTAGGTAAGGCAAGAATTCAATTCTAGAAGAAAATGTTTTTCCATGTACCTGAATCTTTTAGATATTAGGATATGAAACTTTTAAACAGTAAGTCAATTCAGATGCCTTTATGCTACAGAGCTTGTTAGTGAGGCTCTAGCTTTTAAACAGGGCTTACCCAAATAGGCATCACTAGATCCATCACCCCAAAGCCATCCCACTTTCAGGGCAAGGAGCAATCTATCTATCAGCTTAACCTGGATTTATGTGGCTCAAGGATCACCCCACGACATGCCGCACTTTGACTCTAGATGGTTTAAATCATAGGAGAAAGAAACTTTCATAAGAGGTAGGTTTCTGAATCCTAAGCAATTCCAAAGCAAGAAGCAGTGGACACAGTTCCTGGGCACAGGATTGAAGGGGCCTACTCACAAGAGAATATTGACAGTAGGCTGTGATGCAGCACCTACACTCAGTTCGGTCCTTAGAGCCTTGGATAACATCAAGGGCCATGAAGCTCAAAGATAGAAGAATTGTTTCAGATTAATGGAAACTAAAGAGACATGACAACTAAATGTAGCATGTCATTGTAGACTGGATCCAACCTAAACCAAGAAAAAATTTATACTTTTTCTATGTGCTATAAAGGATATTATTACTATAAAGGATTATTGGAGAAATTTGAATAAAGTCTGTAGGTTAGATAATAATGCCATAACAACACTAATTTCCTGATTTTGAATATTGCACTATGGTTGGGTAATAGAATGTCCTTGTTTTCAGAAAATACATACCAAAGTATTTAGAAGTGAAGTGTGCATGTGCATATGTATGGATGGGTGGATGTATAGATGGACGGATGAATGGATGGATGGATGGATGGATGGATGGATGGAGGATGGATAGATAGAGTTAAAGAAAACAGAGCTGGACAGTAGTTATAGCAGTAAAAGACAGACATTATTGAGGAACTATTGCAATAGGGGAAAAGAGACCTCAGTATAGAACTGGACTCAATTCCAAATACAACAAGGAAACGTGGGGATTTATAGCCACAGAGCAGGTTGTGGGAGGTTGGTGGATGGAAAATTATTAAGAAGAGACATCAAGGGTAGGGGGAATTCTTGCTAAACTGACTTAATAGGAGTTCTTGTTAAAGGCAGGCCAAGGTTTTATGCATCAAATATGGCGGATGAAGAATTTGATCAGATATGAAGGGTAATCAGATATCAAGGGTGAGAGGATTTGCCCTAAACTGACTTAGTAGAATTCTTGCTAAAACTGGGCAATGCAGCTCCAGTAGGGACAAACACAGAAACCCAAAGTCAAGGCCTAGTTGAGAAAAGGGCTCAGAGGAGCCTGACCAAAGTTTGGTCAAGAGTCTGTCTTTGTCAATAAATGGATGGATAGCTATTACACAGATAGGTAGGTAGGTAGATAGATAGAAAGATAGATAGATAGATAGATAGATAGATGGATAGGTATAGATGTTCTTGTAAATGTTTAACAATTGGCTCTTTGGGAGGAAAAATCCCTGATCTGTAGCATTTGTTGGTTTCCTTAGTGTAAATATTCCCACCATAGCTGGTTTCAAGATACCAGTGTGGGGTCACTGGACACACCGCTGGGAAGAAAAACTCACAATTGACTTGAAAGAACCATTAAAACCAGGTTCCAACACACCACTGCATAATTCTTTGTACTACTTTTGCAAATCTTCTGTAAGTGTGAAATTATTTGAAAATAAAAAGTTAAAATCTTTAACATAAATTATCTATATAAGAAATGTATCATAAAATTATTTTTTCTAGAGACTGGGTAAAGCAATTTTTTAAATCTTAGTCTCTCTCTTTTTTTTTAAGTAATGGTAGACTACATGGTATACTACGTATAACCACAATATGTAAATTAAACAGCAATTTTTATACTAACAGACAACAAACAAACAACAAAAGGTCAAGGTCTATCACCAAGAAATACTGATAGAATGCACATTATTGATCTTTCCATTAATCAAGTTATATTACTGATAAAGCTTCAGTCGTGGATTCAACCGACACCGGTACTCTTTTGATACAGAAAGAGCACACTGTATTGGAAACACTCACCCGCACCGTCCCTATCAGATCCAGGCCAGGCCATCACATTTGTTTATCCAAGAGCCAAGGGCTGAGGGAGGGAATGACTCAGCACAATTTGCTACTAATAACTCTCTAAAGTTACATCTAACGGTGGGTCAGCTTTGTCCTCTTCAGATACTTCAAGGACAATATGCTTTTCTGGTCAGAGAAAGATATTAAAAACTAATGGCCATTATGTCATTGTTGGAACTCAAGTGTTTGCTCTCTAAATTCTGCTCCTTGTGATTAAATTTGTCTTCTTTAGACGCTATTAGAAACTAAAAGTCCACTAAGGCTGACTCGTGTCATAGTGACACCTAAAGAGAAAAAAAACAAAATGTCAAAAGCAAAATTTTCTGAACCTGGCATCACAAACCAGACTTTGAATTTCAGACAACCAACTAAAATGGGTAGAATTCTTAGGCATACTAAACATCACAAACTTCTAATGTCATTCTGAACTATGTCTTTGATGAGGTTAAAGGTTAACTCCAAGTGTTTGTCAAGTTCTTTGATGCTTTCTAGAAAACAATAAAATTTTAAAATCCAAAATCTAATTTATTAGCAACACATACAGGTATATGAGTCCCACCACAGTGACTGCTGAATTGTAACAGAATATTTAAAACCAGAATGGACTGAACATTTTTCAGATGAACATAGTTTTAACAATTCTTTTGTTTAAATGAATGAACTCTCAAAATATCACATGGTTGTTTTACACTTGATCCGGTCTGCGTGCTGTAGCTCATCTAGAACATTTCTGATGTTCTCGACACAGACTTCTCCTCTGTGATGTTTTTTTGATGCAAGATTCCAAACATGCTCAAATTCTTCATCGGAAAGTTTGACACCAATGTTACATAAAATCTCTGCAATCTAGAAAACAACATTGGCACTCAGACCAAGATTGATATGCTTGTAAATTTGTATTTTAAAAATATCTTTATAACATCTAAGACTACACATATTTATCCTAAAAATAGTCTGTGAAGAGGGAGGGAGGATGTTTGCATGTGCGTATGTGCTCATTGCATATAACGGAGCAAATACCACAATTCCAGTGTTTTCAGTCCAGGAATAATTTTGCTAATATGAATATGAAGGTGTTCACCTATATTAGCCAATACATAATATTCCTTCCAACTCTAAGTGTTTCTGGTTCTTTTAAAGAGAGGTAGCAAAATTCAAGTAGAAAGAGTAAAAGAGCTAAAGATAGAAGACCTGCTGGACTTGTGTTCCTTCTCAGTTACTTCGTGGTCACTATGACCTTATGGATGTCATGTAAACCCCCTGAATATTAGTTTCTCCTCTCTAAAATATGAACATTTATAAAATGTCTCTACTTGGCCTCGTAAACTTTAACTAGAGTTGTGGGCGTGCAAATGCCAGAGAGATGGCGCAAGCACAAGCAACTAAGCAGACTAAAATGTGAGTACACTGAAACCCAGAAAACGGTGTTATTAACAATCTCTCTGAAATGATAATTATTAAAAGAGATGAAGAGGGAAAATACGCTTCTTATGTCCCAGGGAAAATATAAGAAAGGAAAGACAAGAACTAGTAATGGGAAGAAATGTTAGAATGAGTAGAGGGAAGAAAAAATGTGGGGGGGGAAATGAAACTAAATTTAAAAGAGGAAAAACATTTACTATGAAGCATACAGAGAGAAAGCCAAGAGGGAAATGGAAAGAAAGGGTAGACAGTGAATAGAAAAGCCAAAGAAATAGAATAGTTGCAGAATACAATTAATAGATACCCTAGAAATGGCGGGCTCTTGCGGGAAATTAACAGTATAATCAAGTAAACTTGAAATTCAGAAGAGCTGTGCTGCCAGCAGCCGCAGCTGTACAGAAAAACACCTCAATGCCCCCAGGCATAGCTGCTATTTTTCCCCCACCCAGTGGCAGGTCAAGAATGTCCCCAAAGAGTGAACTCATGAAGGGATCCAAGTCAGTCTTGGGCGTCCCAGGCCTCCTCTTCTGCTTCCTTCCCACTCCTCAGGAGGCATTCCTCCCCTAGTTCAGCATGCCATGGTAGTGTATTGATTAGCTAACACTTTTACAGAAACCCATCTATTCTCAACTTAACACTATCACTCCAACCAGGCCTTTGGGTACTTACTTTTAATCTAGAATTGTGAGATAAAGGATGACTTCCTAGTTAAAAGAATTTTAGGCATCATGAAACAAGGAGAGTTTTGTTTCTTTTGGCAACACTGAGCTTGTATTTCATAGGCCCTTTGGAGCAACTGAGGGAAGTGAAAACACAGTCTGGAAACGTCTCTTCTCTGATGTCCTGGGGAGGATCCTGGGTTCCTTCTTGGGGACAAGCCAGCAGGCATTATCCTCTGAGTTTCTCCCTTCCTTTCTCCTCTACCTCAGCAGGAATGAATCATTAGAATGAATCTGTTATTAATTAAGTTGGTATTCAGTAAGTTTTCAAGCCATCGACCCTTCATCTGAAGTCCCAGAAGGCATCATATATCGATTCACATCATTTCTAGTTCTGGATATGAAAGTTCAGAAGCACTTGCTCCCTAGATCACACCCTGCTTTCCACGAGTAGAGAGGGAGACAGGCTGGTCTGACCAAGCACTGCTATTAATCCTTGGCCCTCAGAACCCCAGTGGCTATTCTAACCTAACAGGTTGCTTCTGCTTTATAACCCACCTAGGAAGAAAATCACCTGGGATGTGAGGACCATATTTTCTGAGTCAAAAATAAAACAAGAACATAGCTGACATATGGTTTGGCAACAGGACAGAACAGTTTAAATCAGTGCTTGTTGCAGATACCCTGAGACATGTGACAGCAGTACATAAGGAAGGTGGCAGAGTGGCCCTCCTCATACTTACTCTTTGGTTTTGGAGACCCAAGACCATAAGGATACTTACACAAGGATCTTTTCTGCTTTTTCTCAACTAATAATAGTGTTGAATGTCTTAGGAAAACATTTTTCTTTCTATACATAGGTCATAGTGACTACATGACATGAATGTAATGCTTCCTATCATAAAGTAAATTCTACTTCAAGACTTGTACCAAAATGTTACAACCAAATTGAACAATAGAGGACTCTCAAGAATCCTCTATTTGGGGACCCTGATGACTTCTGTAATATAAAAGCTCAAGTTTTAAAAAGTCTGAAATAGTAGCTGTTGATAAATAAGCATTTTCATCTTTGCGTGTTTATAAAGTTGACATTTCTTTCAACCCTTTTGAAATAATATGCTGTACCTCTTTTTTTGATCTGGTCTTGAAGAAGTCTCTTTCAAACACTCCTTTCTGGGCAAAGATGCTAGGATGTAGTAGAGAATAGGCATTGCCCTCTTCGCCATAATTAGTTCTATCACTGACGCGACGAATTCGGGGGGCAGGAAGATCAGATCGAATGGTTGGAACACCATAGATGGGATAACCTGTGAGGCCATCAATGAGGAAAGAAAACAGACATTCTAAAACTGAGCTGTACAGTACAGTAGCCACCAGCCGCATGTGCCTATTGAGCACTTGAAATGTGCCTACTCTGAACTGAGATGTACTGTAAGTATAAAATACATACTGAATTTCAAAGATTGAGTGCCATAAAAAGAAGGTGAATATTTAATTAATCATTGGTTATTTGTTGAAATGATAATATTTTGGAGATATATATTATATCTAAAATATAAATATTATTAAAATTAATTTCACCTCTTTCTTTTTCATAATGTGGCTACTAAAAATTTAAAAATACATATAACTCCAATTATATTTCTATTGGACACACTATTCTAAGGGAGTAGCAAGATCTCATTATACCAGAATGTCTATAAAATCCAGTTAAGAAAAACATGGAAATCCTTAATCATGTCCTTAGTCCAAGAAAATTATCTTGACCAACATAAAATAGACTTTCTAAATAACCAATATTCGTCATGCTCGATATTGAGAAATGGGTTGTTATGGATTGAACTGTATCCTCCCAAATAAGGTGAACTTATTTGGAATTAAGATCATTGCAGATGTAATTAGTTAAGATGAGATCATACTGGAGTAGAGTGGGCCCCCAGTATGACTGGAGTCCTTATAAAAAGGGAACATTTGAATATAGACACTCACACAGGAGAACACCATGTGAAGATAAAGGCAGAGATCGGGGTGATGCAGCAGAAGTCAAACAGCCCCAAAGATTGCCAGGAAACCACTAGAAGCTAGGAGAGGGGCTTGGAATAGATTCTCCCTCACGGCTCTCAGAAGGAACCAACCCAGCCAACACCTTGATCTCAGACGTTCAGCCTCCAGAACTGTGAGACGATAATTTTCTGTTGTTTAAGCCCCCCAGTTTGTGGTACTTGTTGTGGCAGCCTTAGCAAAGTAATAGATGGTGGACAAAGATATAAAGAATTGTTTGTAAGAGCTCTTCAAACATTCGAAGGCAAGTCTGTTTGTAGCTAAGAATCCTCTGGTTTAAAAGTCCCCTAACACTTGGAGAAGTCTGAATTACTACAATGTATAACATTCAGTGTGCTTAACTATGATGGTTTCAATTTCATTAATACAGAGAGAATCATTTTACTTGGGTCATTACAAACAATAGTTCAGTTCAGCCTACATATCCTGCGACCTGTTGGGTGTTTATAACACAGAATTGAATAGAAGGTCGTAGGTTTTCAGAAACTTAGTCTAATGGAGATAAAGGCTGGGGACAATGCAAGAACAGACAAAGGACACTTCGCTTCTACATTTGCTGATCCTTTTAAAACTCAACAGTTCTCCTGGCCTTAGCCCCATCTTCCTAGAAACCTCCATGCCATGAGATCCAAGTGGAGGAAGAAATGAATACGCAGGCTGAAGCGCAAAAGAAGAAAGATGAGACAGAGATCCAAGTAAACCGGTAGCTTGTGCACCCATGGAAGCCACAGGAGCAGAAATAAGGAAAGCCAGTGTCCAGAGACACTGGCACAAATTGTTGGACTGCGTGCCCTCTGTCTAGAACTTGTCTCAATGGATCTAGAACATTCATCATCACATGATCACCGTCACCACCTTTAAGAGATCCACCTTGCTCATACCAAAACAGGCCCTTTTGGTCCTTTGCCATGGACCTATGACATTCTGGACTGGCTCTGTTTTCAGTTGTGGCTGAATATATCATGTGTACAATAAATCATCTCTTCTGTTGACTTAACTGAAAACAACAACAACAAATAACATGACATACTCACAAGTAGAAGGAACGGCTCCTACAACTGCACAGATCTCAGAAGAAGTTGTCTTATAGTGATTAGAAACTTTATCACTTGGCCTCAGAAGTGTCCGGAGAGTGTTTTCTGAGCTCCCTGGTTCTTTTAAGACAGTATCTTCAGGCTTTATCAGGAGAGTTGGTTCAGATTCATCAACATTAGCTTCAGCAGGGTTTGCACAATCTGGTTTTCTATCTTTAAGGAAAGAGGGAAATGGGGGGGGGGGGGAAGTACAGGAAGAAATTACTACTTGGTGCTTGCTGCTCTGCAACAAACTTGGTTTTCCATTTAGTCTCTTCTTGCTAGTGGGAAGTGAGACTGGCTGGTGTAAACGCTCCACTGATGCCAGCACCCCACTGTGGAAAAGCAAGTTCAGGCCAGTGTCAAATACCAGGAAATTTGAACGTGGTCTAATGTTTCTTTTTACGACTCCACTCACTTTAGAATAAAGCTTTTAAATCTGAAAGACCAACTGCAAACTTAGAACCTATTATTTTTCTTCCCTCTTTTTTTAAACTAGAGCTTTTTTTCATATTTAACTGGAACTACAGGTTTACCAGAGTCGTTCCTAGCACTGTGCCCTAGCCAGAGACAGGAGAAGACATATTTGGAGTTGTAAATTCCGCACAGACCTGATCACAGGAGGAGCCTCGCGTATTGCAACATTTGAAGAGGCAATGAAAACTCACTGTGAGATCAGGAACCCATTATACAAATGTCTCCCTTCAAATCACTATATAAAAGAAAACCCCGAGGTAGAACTGAAATTGGAAGACTTTGTCCTCTTTTGCAGATTTGCTTTGCTGAGGCAATTCTGAAATTGAGGCATTTTTTTCACAGAGCTGGTAATTCCACAGCTAGAGGGCGCTGTGGTCTTTTAACCTCCAGAAGAACGCAAGGGTGGCAAAGGCAAATGGTGCCCCAGCATCGGAAAGGGGTGGGAACTGCGGAAACCGGAAAGACCCGCCTCTCTAAAGTCTGCACCCTCTATTCGGCTCTTGCGAATCGTTGCCATGAAAGTGTTCAGGCCCAGTATTTCAGATTCTCTAATCCCCTCCGCACCCACCAAAAAAGCGGAAATCTGTCGAAAGAATGAAAACCAGTTCCTCAGAAAACTGAAAGACACCGTCTTAGAGTACTTACCCCACTTTCCTCCAAAAGTCAACAGTAAGATAGAATCTGATGTAAGAAAATTCCTGGTAAAACAATCCTCAACCCCTTCTGATCTGCTGGCCACTATCTTAGAGGAAGAAAAACCTCGAGAACACTGAAAAGGGCTGATGAAGTCAGGAGCCCAAAACCAGGAACCATATGAGGAACTATCTGGTTTGAAACCAGGCTTCTGCTTCCCCTACTTCATGAGTTGTGCCAAGAAGAAAAAACATTCCCTCTCCATTTCTGAAAGGATTGAGGTAGAGTTGTCTTCTATAAAAAGCTTCTTTAGGTAGAGAAGATTCTCCTGCTTTCCTAGTAGATAGATAGAAAGGCCATCCCACAAACTTCTAAGGGCTCGTATCATCAATAAAGTCCAAAATTTGGTTATGGCCTTGCAGAACGGCATGACCCAGGAATAAAAGAGAAAACAGTAGTATCTTCACTTTTTAGAAGAGAGATATTCGAAGAGGAAATAAAAATGTAAATAACCTTTCTAAAAAGTTAATCCTTTCCAATAATCAAGATCTGAAAATTAAAGCAAACGATGTATCATTATGTGCCAACTAAATTACAAGAATGTTTGAAATAACACTCAATGGTAGCAAGGTTGGAATAAAATCTTCTCACAGCCTTGGCTGATAAAGTTGCAAATTGGTACAATCATTTAGAAAAGGAAAATGAAAATATATAGAGTTACTTCTGGGATGATAATAACATTCATAAGAAATGAGATATAATTAGAAACAGGAAGCTTTTTGAGAGATGATAATCATTATAATGTTACCCATATTACTTTAAAAATATCTGGAAATAACCTAAATTTCAAAAAGTGAGGAAATGGTTTAGTAATTCATAATACATCACCATAAGGGAACTGAAAATGAAATTTACAGAAACCATAAAAGTATCTCTTCATTCCATAGAAAGTGGAAAGCTACATTTTAAAACGCCAAATAAAAATGGGACACTCGTGATTTGAGCTACATTTAAAATATGTGCCAATGCACACACATAGGTATGGATGTGCATCTGTCTATATGTGGTTAGTGAGGCAGGAGGAGAGTATGTGAACACGAAAGTATTTGAATAAAGGTAAAGATTATGGTTTTCCTTTTCTTACAAAATTTAAAAGATCAAATTTTCCTATGTCAAATTCTATCTGAATATTGACTTTCCTGGGGGAGGGGAGCTAACTACTCTAAGACAATGGTTTTCAAGAACTTTCTGAGGAACTGTCTTTCATATTTTGGGCTTCTCTGTGAATTGTTTTTTTATTTTTTTCCTTTTGAATGAGTAATACGTGGTTCCAAATTCAAAAGATACAAAAAGATAGATTAAAAAGTGAGTGTTGCTGCCACCCTGTCCCTCAGCTGCCCAGTTCCCCACCCCCCCCCCCCCCCGCGGAAATAATAAATGTTATCAAATTCTTTCTTATCCTTCCACAGATATTCTATGCAAAAACAAACAAATAAATAAATATGTATATATGCATATTTTTAAATATATAATATTAAAGTTGACAAGAGTTGAGCTCCTAGAAAAATGAAAATATAAAAGTCCATTTAAGACTTAAGCAAACCTTCGAAATGTAAATACCTTTAATAATAACCCTCTTTTCATATTCTTTAAGAGGCACTTTATCTTTCCAGTTAAGAAAATTTGCAAATTCTAGGTAGTTAATCAGTCCATCATTATCCACATCACAGTAGTCAAATAGCTGGTCCAGGAGCTTCTCATCTAAGTGCAAGTTGACCTCTTCACAAGCTTCCCGAAGCTCGGCTTTATCTATCACCCCATCTCCCTTCTGTTAGACACAAAGCAAAACAAGATGAAGTGAGCATTGCCTTTAAGAGCAAAGTATGCAACATCTATTATTTTATTTAAGAAAAAAGAGCTCTATCACATAAACTCAAATAATTTGTCTCAATTTTCACATAAGAGAAATCATATATTAAGCGAGATTGGTCCTCATTGCATTGACGTGATACATGCACAGTAATTTGAACCCTGGTTGGAGTGGGTATGGCTTAGAATCTTTGTTCATTCTATTTTAATATGTTTTCTTTAAATCATGCTGCTTACACTGTGGTAGAGCAGGTATAACCATGGTTTGTGCTGTGCTTCACATCTCATTTGATCAATGTGGTGTACTCTTGACGGCTCTCTACAATTTTTCATACTTTCAAAGTTTCTAACCCCTGTGGTGTTCCACTTGGACAGTAAATAGTCCTCCACTCCATTGCCTGGTAATGAGAAGAAACCGGGGAGGTAGTTGCTGGCCAAGTGCAGGGAGGTGGATTCAAAGACTGTTGCCTGCTTCCTGCTGACACCCCTAGGGGCAAGAGGGACATGCCACCACCCAGCATTCAGCCCCCACTGTAACAATCAGCACTAAGATTCATCCTGATAGGGGGAGGAGGGCAAGTTTCCACCCCCTTTCAGACAATAGTTAAAGACAGGAGTGCCTACGCTGAGTGTGCAAGGAGGGAAATTTATGAAGGCTCTGAGCGGAACTGGCTGGTTCACTTGGGAGATGAGGGAGTGGAGCACACAATTCTCGTTAATGAAGAATGGCAAGAGCTGGGACATCTTACTGCTCAGCCCCTCCTGCAGTCTATCAAGCCAATCTGAAATCCATTCAGGGATGACAGTGAAAGAGGATTTTTGCAGTGTGTCCTAGCTGCTACAAGGGAGCTTTGGCCATCTCAGATTTCTCTGAGACAGACAAACTCCCAAGGGAAACTACAAATGACTAATTGACTAGTATTTAGCTCTTATGACCAGGATTGGATTTACAATGCCGATGAAGGTAATCCTCTGGAGAACGAGAAACTGACCCAATGAATTCTAGACAAATTCCTGCAGTCAGACCCTGAAAAATATCCCTACCCTTATGTAAAACAGAATGAGAATTTAAAACAGATTATCTTGACAAGAGAGCTACAAACGCCCTGGATTAAAGTAGACTCCTTTATAAAAGTCTCTGCCGCAAGCCCAAATCAACCAAAAATGCAAACCCCTCAGCCCTAGATGAAAAGCTATGTGGGATGTGGCTGTTGAATCAAGAGGTCTCTGAAACTGAAATAGATAGTGTCAATAACGACGACTTTGCTGCCCCAAATAGGGCTTTGTGTGGACTGCAAACACAAATTGGTGATTTGTTTCATCAAGCTGCATGCCAGCACCATACCCCTCAAAACTCAAAGGAAATGTTTCTTACTGCCCAGGTACCAAGCTACTCTCTCCTTCTGTACCCTTGATCTCTCCCTTCCTCAGACCCCTGCCTCAGCTGCTCTAAGGAGAAAGATGACTAGATGCAGGACCAAGGTCTCCCAGTCCCCAAGGAGGATCAAAAGGCACATGCATCTGCTCAAGTATGCTGTGGAGCTTCAGGGGGGCAGAGATTCCAACTTTCATGGCTTCTTTGGATATGGGTGCCAAAGTCATCATCCTACTCAATCTGTAGGGGGAGAAAAGATCCGGACTCAGCTAGCGGGATTTGGGCAGGGTTTGTCTGAAGTGGAGAAGGAAGGCTAACAACATAGTATTTCTGTGGCTTCCACTGCTGAATATAGAATTGGTATTGATACTTTACATGCCCGTATTGTGAATGTTCGTTAAGTGCCAGAGGCCACTTACTCTCAAGAAGAGCCACATGTAGAGAATTGCTGGTACCTTTGGGGCCCCTCAATCCTAATGACCCCTTTGAGCTACAAATCTCCATGACCAATGATTTTGACACTTAAAGCCTCTGGAAAAGAGAGGCAACCTCCACTTGGAGATGCCCCTTGGGGTTTAGGATTCATTGCCTCCTAACCCGGTACCAAGTGGATACCTTTTGAAAAGTAGCTAGTAGCCACTTCCTGAGCTCTTTATGAAACTGAATGTTTGACCCTTGGAGGCCTTGTGACTCTCCAGTCTGATAGTCATTTTGAGGTGAGCCAACTTGGATTCAATGACTAACAAGGTGGAAAGGGCCCAGCAAGCTTCAATGTGAAATAGGTATATTCAAGAAGGCAGCCAGCCTGGCCCCAGTAACATCTCAGCTTTACATAAAAAACTTTTGGGAAAAACTTTATTTACCTCTTTGCCACCTAAAGCAAAGCCACTGGTTCAACTGGACCCTCAATTCACAGAGGCTTCCCTAAGTGCCTGGGCCTGGTTCACTAACCTGAAACCCAGTGGTCTTCACTGGGCTGCAGTGACTTTCAACCTCAATGAGAGCTATGAAGGACCAAAAATGGACTTCGTCACTCTACTCAGTGAGCGGAACTCAAGGCTATTCTCATGGCTCCAACCAATACTCCCCTTGATGAACCTGTTATATTTTTACTGACTTTTGTACTGTTGCCAATGAACTCCCCATTTGGTTTGCCACTTGGAATGCTACAGACTGGAGGATTAAAGCCACCACTTTTTGAGTCTGGAAACTATGGAAACAAATCACGGCTGCTGATTGAACCACCTGGGTAAATCATATAGATGCCCATGATGAGGGTCCATTCTCTGATAAGAATGACTGGAATCAAGCTTCTGACTAAGGCTGAACCATCCAGATTGCCACCATTGCTGCCTGGATCCATCTTTGTGCCAGACATGGCAACACACCCACCATTCCAGACAGGGCACAAAATAAAGCACTCTACATTTCTGATGCAGAGGCTACCACCTCATGCCAAACTTGTGACTCCTGCCAAAAGTCGACTCATTTATCTCATGGTGAGAGAAGACATATCACAAACAAGGAATTGCCCCCGTGCTCCTGGCAGATTGACTGCATCTAACCTTTGTCCCCTTGCAGAGCTATTGGTGGGGCCTCACCACTATTGACACATTTTCAAGTTATGGAATTGCTATTCCAGACCAATCAACCAGCTCCAGTCACAACAGTATAGCCCAAGAAATTAATCTGGGTCGTGTGTTTTGCTTTTTTGGACCATTTTCAGTCTAACCATGGAGTGCCTTCTAGCTCAAAAACTACTCAACAATGAACTGGCAGTCAAGGTTGTCAAGGAAGCTTTCCTACTCCCAACCATCCACAGCCATCTGGTATTCCTGAGCTCTGTCTCCCTTCCTACCGGCTCCTGTTCACACATCTGAGTAGAGCAGTTTTGTCGCTGAATGTGGCTGTCCCCAAAAAAGGAGTCATCCCATCTCAGCAGCTTTCTGGATAATAATTAGAATAAAAGGAGTGGGAATTATATAGACCTATTTTGAAAATTTGGGACTCTGCTATGACCAATCCTGGACATGACATGTCTTTTTTTTTCCCCTTCGAGATTTTAAGTTCCCTTAATAGAAAGTCTACACATTATCCAGAATAATGTTTGATGTATTGTGAGTGTTCAATAAATAGCAGAATTAATCCTTTAAGCCGAGAAGATTCATTTAGGAAATCACACTTTATTTGTTCTGTTTTGTTTTGTTTTTCCATTAAATTAAATCTGGGCATTCAACAGTGTAAGATTTGAACAATCAAAAATTATCCTACAGCTGTACTTAGGAAGACCCACATCTTATTACCCTCTCAGAAAAAAGCTCCTCAAGGACACTGAGCGCTACATCGTGCACATTAAAAGTTAACTATTTAAAAGGTATATCAGCATTAAATAATTGTCAGTAATGTTCTCCCTGGTTAATTTAATTTTGTCATAAAGAATGTGCCTGGTGGTTCACTAAGATAATCAACAGCTATTAAGATGATCATCTTGCCTATAATTACATTTAAGATGAAAAATTTTTAAAAAGCAGAGCACTATGCATTGCGATAAGTTCTCTTATTCATGTCACTACGACATAAATTTCCCCCAATATCATCTTTGTAAGATACTTGGATGTGAGCAAAGTTTAAAATGTACTTGTTTTAGCTTACATATTTTAATTCTGAAAAATCATTTTTAAATTACCTGTAAATAGTAATCAGTCTCTATTAAAAACCAGAGAAAAAGTTGAATACTTACATTTTCTTTAAACACAACTTTGTGAGAAATGTAGTTGATGACTGATTGGTGCTTGTCCCCACATAATTAGTACAAACTTAAATGAGATATTTAACCCACTTTTTATTCATCAGTATGACACAGGCACACAAGCCCCTAACCTATAAACAAATAAAATGAATGGGCTCAAAATGAATTAGGCAATGAGTGATCAAGATTTTTTTAAGATAACAAGTGTGAAATGTAACTTTTCCAAAACTGTACTCAACACTGGAAGGGAGATAGAAATATTATCTTTTCCTTTGGAGATAAACCAAAATTATTCTGCTCCTTTTATTCTTCTCATGTCAAGATTACGATACACTGCATCATCACAGATTCATGAGCTTTTATTTGTTTATATTAGACTCATTCTAAAATGGTATTGAGGCTGCCTAGAAAAATAAGGACAATTAAACAGAGCCCAAAAAGTGAAGAAACCAGAGCAAAGAGAAAACAAAGATGGAATAAAACAAGATGAAACTTGGAATAACAAGAGCACACAAAATGTATTCTGTAAGATCATGTTCACAAACTAGATGTGTTTCATGGAATTAGCTCTGAGCTTCCTGGCAGCCAAGTCAAAAAGGTATGCATAATCAGTACAAAGTTCATTCTGTTCATGAGGTAAAAACAAACCAGATACTTAGATGAAGCACAGTTATTTCCTTTACGGATACTGGGTTTCCTTATAAAGAGGATGCATATGACAAAAATAAATAACAGCCTCATGGGCATACTAACAAAAATATGCCATTTCACAAGCAATTGGTATAACAGTGCTCCTTAGTGTAAGCTAAAGGCAGTGCACCTTGGTAAAAGCAACCTTGTGATGGCCTAAAATGATGAGGGGTAATTATGCAGCCACAAATTGATCTGTAGGAAGAAGGACCTGGCCACCCACTTCCAAAAAAACTGGCCATGAAAACCCTATGAATAGCAGTAGAGCATTGTCTGATGAAGCGCTAGAAGTGAGAGGATGGGGGCCAGCCTGGTGGCGCAGCGGCTAAGTTTGCATATTCCACTTCGGCAGCCCAGGGTTCACTGGTTCAGATCCCAGGTACAGACCTATCACTGTTTGTCAGGCCATGCTGCAGCAGGCCTCCCACATATAAAGTAGAGGAAGATGGCCATGGGTGTTAGCTCAGGGCCGGTCTTCCTCAGCAAAAAGAAGAGGATTGGTGGCAGAAGTTAGCTTAGGGCTAATCTTCCTCAAAAAAAACAAAAAGTGAGAGGATGGTGCAAAAAGACTGGGCAGGGTTCCGACTGCTGTACGCTGGGTCACTGGAGTTGGAATTGACTCGACGTCACTAACAACAAAGACTGATCTGACTATATCAAAGGATAAAATTTAGAGTAGCTTGAAAACTGAATGATCTTCCTCTCTCAAAACTGAAACTATACCCTGCTCCCCCAGGGGAGAGATGTTCTAAGCTTGACTTGGACCTAGACTGACAGTACCATGTGTCCATATTCAGGTTCAAGTATAGATCGTCTATACTCCAGGAGTCTTTCCAGGAATCCACAGCGCTGTCCCTCCCCTTGCTCCCAGCACACCACAGTTTAAGCATCTACAACAGTGGGTCTCGGACTTGAATCTGCATCAGAATCACCTGAAGGGCTTATTAAAACACAATTGCTAAGCCGCAACCCCAAGTTGCTAATTCAGTAGGTCTGGGGCGGGCCTTAGAATGCGCATTTCTACACGTTGCCAAGTGATGCTGATGATGGCAAAAGAACCACACTGTGACAACCACTGATCTGCCCCAGGGGTCGGCAAACTTTTTCTATTAAGGGCCAAGAAGTAAATATTTCAGGTTTGCAGGCCATTCAATCTCTGATGCACCACTCTGCAATTGTAGTGCAAAACACAGCCACAGACAATACTTAAAACAAATGGGCATGTAAAACTATTTACAAAAACCAGTGGTGGACCAGATTTGACCCACAGGCCATCGTCTGCTGACCCCTGGTCTACCTCAACCTGCCGGGATCCGTAAGCCCACAGAAAGCTCTGCTCTAGTACTGGCCTTGTCATAATGCCTGAAGGCTGCCAGCAAAGTGTCAAAGTTTTGGTAGTTAACTTTCTTCAAGTGATGCCGAACTGCTGCAACCATGCTTCGCTGTCTATCCTTGCCTCGAAGGTATTCACCCGGAAGTCTGTTATAGATGAGATCATCCGCTCCTATTGAAGAGGGGGGAAGAAAGTCTTTTATCTGAATTTAAAGTCTGTCAATATTATTCCCCTCCTAAAAAAGAGAGACAGAGAGAGATCGAGCAACTTCTGTGAATGGAAAAAACCTCACACCTAACTCCAACGCTATTATACAGCATGACAGAAAATCCTTGTGCATAAAAAAGTACATAAAGTAATTGTTAAAATTAATATTTCTGGGGCCAGCCCAGTGCCATTGTGGTTAGGTTCGCATGCTCCACTTTGGCGCCTGGGGTTCGCAGGTTTGGATCCCAGATGCAGACCTACACACGGCTCTCAGACCATGCTGTAGTGGCATCCCACATATAAAATGGAGGCTGATTGGCACAGATCAGGGCTTTAGCTTGGGGTGAGTCTTCCTCAAACAAAAAGAGGAAGATTGGCAACAGACTTAGCTCAAGGCTAATCTTCCTCACCAAAAGAAAAAAAAATTAGTATTTCTGCTTTATGTGACTTTCTTTGCTTAATGAAAAAAATCTGAAAAAAGGAATTTTGTAGGGAAATCCAGCCCCATTCAACTGTCAAATCCTTTCCTTAGACAGTGGAGCCCTTGCAAAGAGGCAGACATTTGTCTACAATGCTGAGGATCTGAAAGCTGGGGTTGATTCCACGTGGGGGACCCTCTGTGTGCCTCAGAGCTAACTAAACCTCTGGGAGCCCTTGTAAAAATTGGACTGAAACTCCCTACTCCCTCCTAATATGAGTTTCCAGTCTTCCTTGGTCTGCATGTCAAGTTCTCATTTCTCAGCCCTGTTTGCCCCTACAGCACCACGAGCACAGGTGACCTGACCCCATCCACAGCTCCATTAACTGAGTCCTGACCCACAACCCCCTCCATTATCTGGAAGTAATGAACTCTCCAGTCCACCTGCTACATCCGCCTAGACCTGGCCCTCTCTTTCATTTATCCTTCATGACTTAAAGGCACTTCCCTGAATTATGACACAAAGAAAGTGCACACACATACGTTGCCTGTAAACCCCACTCTTTGCCATTCCCTTTTGGGAACCATTGTTTGGATGCTAATGGTGACAGGAATCAGGCTAGAGTTGACCACGTTGCTTCAGATGTGATGGCTTGGTGGATGTCACCAGAAAAAACCTTCTGCCTCTGTTCATTTTCACCTGGCCTATACCCCTTCCCCTCCTGCTTTCTTGGGGCAGGGTCATGCTGGCAGTTGGCTGTGATATCCTGGATGGATTAATTTAAATTACAACATAGGTTGCAGTTCAAGGCAACTGATATTTACACCTAGCCTGTATAAGGTCCTCCACTAGACTCTGTCAAGGGTCTCTTTTAATACATACTCATATCACCTGTAAGTTTCTTACTTATTATAAAATCAGGAGCTAATCTCACACACTCTGATAAAAACTTTGTTTCTAATGGTAAACCCTGCACATGAGTGAGAAGCCCACAACTATTGCTGGTTCCAGGAACTGGGCAAGTACTTAGACCAAGGTCCCCTGAAATGGGGTCAGCTGCCGTCAAACCAGCCTAAAATGAGCAAAACACAAGGCTCTGTGAGAGGAAATCAAGACGGTTAGGGGCGATTTTTCACAAGTAAGCATGGCCTCCTTTCCTCCTCCACATTCCTTCCCTGAGGGAAACCCTTTGGGTGGCTGTTCTGTATAACGGAGGTCCTCCCTCTTCCACAAAATGGCTCTCGTTGAGTTTTTTATCTTCAGAGGTCTTCCCTCTCCATTAACATCCAAAAATAACCATTTGAATGTTGTTTTTCCGATTCCACCTGGCTTCCCCACCACAGGTGTAACTGCCTAGTGAGTGTGACGTATGCTGATACCTTCTTCTGCCTGGCCCTGAAAGAATATTTACAAACCTCGTGTCAAATCACTCGTAATTACTCGAGAGCTCTAAAGAGCTGTAATCAGGAAGACAAGCTCTGGCCCTCTGAAAGAGACCCATGACCTAGCTACCACACCATGACCGTGAGAAAAGCTAAGTGAGCTCCTAAGTTGTACTCTGCCTGCAACCAATTCCCACAATGCACCACTGTCCACTTGCCCTGGATTTGCCTTCAGACTGCCTCCACCCTTGTGCATTCTGGAGCTGAGCACAGCCCTTGCACCCTTCCTGGAGGCATATTAAGATAAGCAGTAACTCCGGGCCCCAGAGAGGAGGCATTTTTTTGTGCAGCTGCCTTCATTTCCCTAAGTAAGGGTAAGGGAGAAATCCAGGCCCAGTAAAGAAACTGATGTCCCTGGAAGCAGGCATAACCTGAAGCTTTCCACAGAATAGATGCTACTAGTAACTCCAATAATAGTCCCAAAGGTGAGAATTTAGAGTTAATCTGTGTCCATCCATGAACTCCAGAAAAAGTCCAGAGAGGACTTACACTCTCCTTTCACAGTTACACTATGCACCACCCAGGCTGGTACCGATACTTACATATTTTTTAAATTATTGATGTCAGTGTTCTTCCTTTTCATTTTATAACACTATCTTATCATTCAATTTATAAGAATAATGTCGATCAACTATTAGGAAATTTGTCAACGTTGTCAAATTGTCAAAATGATAAACTATGTGTTGGATCCATCAATTCATGCAATAAATATTGGTGAAAAATGTCCTGTGTGCTAGACCCCAAGGATCCAACAGACAGTAAGGCAGAGCACCCACCAGCATGAAGCCAGCCCTCAAGTAGGCAGAGTTTACCATGCTGACCTACTTGTTTTTCAGGCTAATTGATGGGTTTCCTAAATCATCCCTTTCCCCCTTCTACAGGTATGAAGGGCCTTTAAGATGAACAGGCATCCATTAAGATAACAGTTCACATAAAAACAGAGCCAACATATAATCTTCTAATGTGGCGATTTCTGATGCTCCAAAACACTGTTGCATAAGCTCAATAAATATTTATTTTATTTGTCAGTGAGTAGACTTCAGCTAAAACATTTTCAGTAGTTAAGTTTCACACTTAAACTTTAGTGTGTATAAGATCCTAAGGAATCACAATATCTGGGCATGGGTCCCAGGAACCTGTGTCTTTAACAAACTCCCTGGGTGATTGTAATGCCGGTAGACTAGAGACTATATTTTGAAAACCACTGATATACAACCCAATCCCAATAAACTTTAGCATAGCTTTCCCTTTGGATGGCTGCTGTTTAGATCGCTTAGAAATAAAGATGAAATCCTGGTAAGATTTTTCTGCCACTTCATGGACTGATGGATTGATTGATTGGGTGGTGGGAAGAGAGTGGTTCTTAATGACACGATTGTAGAGTACAGCTTTCTCAGACTTGAACGTGCCTCCAGTTCATCTGGGAATATTGTTAAAATGTGGTTTCTGATTCAGCAGGTCTAGGGTGAAGCCCAAGATTCAGTACTTCCAGGAAGCCAGCAGGGCATGTCAACACTGCCAGTCTGCCCACCACAGTTTGAGTAACAAGGGCCTAGGACAATATTCGAATTCATTAAAAAGCTGCCTCACTTCACTTTTGCTTGTTTAATACAGGCCATATTTATTTTCTAAACAAAATTCCGAGCTTTAATTACACTTAAGGTATTCATTACAAGGGCTTTAAACTGTACCTATTTCAAACATAATATGAGAAATTTTTTCTCTCTTGTGCTACAAATTGTTCTCATTAATGTTAATATAATATTAAGCCTTTAAAATTAGAAGCCTGGAGAGGAGATAGTGAACTTAACTGCATAACTTTGTGGGGATTTTGTTTCTGTTTGTTTTTTAAGAAGAAAGTTTGTATATTTACCATACTCCTCAGGACGGAGACAAGCTCCAAATGTGTGGTCTGGGGGAACATTCATAGTTTCTGCAATGCTATCAAAGAAAACAAATCCTTTAGTTAAAATACCCACCACACAGCATCCCTGGAATTTCAAATATGTTTGCCATATGTTTTTAATAGCCTATATTTTCTCCTAAAACCAAACTATGAAGATCAAACAGAAGTTCTCCAACAGATCTTTTGTCTAATCTTCCACTTGCATTAACAGTGGTTGAATGTTTTCACTGGCTTTCAGTAGCCCAGATTTAAAAAGAAAAAACAGAACATATTCAAAGCAGAATTATGGAAGTATATATAGAGAAAGACAGAGAAGAGAGAGAAAAATCTAACAGAATAAGTTAAATTTTGGATATCCCAGAAATAAAGCTTTACACAAAATTCTCCCTCCCTCTTCTCCAAATGCCCTCTCCTTCTTGGAGAACTTAGCACTTTCCTGGAATCCTAAGATCTATAGAAGCTAATAGAATTTCCTGATTAACATAAAAGGACGTTTCTTATTTAAGAGAGAGAATTTAACAGAATACAAACCAACATTGACCAGAAGAGTACTCCTTTAGTTAGACCCAAAGACACTATCAATTTGAAGTTAATCATTAACTTACGGATCTAAAACTCTTCCAAGTTTATGTTGAAACTTTTCTTTGAAATCATCAACTCTCTTGGATACAATCTTAGCTCCTCTTTTCCTAAAAAATTAGAAAATTGTCAGGTATCTATATTACCTAAAGTGTTCTTGGCTGCCAAATATACTTATGGTGAGGAAAACTATAGGGTCATTCGGGCCATCAAAAAATAAATCCCAGGGGCCAGCTCCGTGGTCGAGTGGTTAAGTTCGCGGGCTCTGCTGCGGGGGCCCAGGCTTTCGCTGTTTCAGATCCTGGGCGCGGACATGGCACCACTCATCAGGCCACGTTGAGGTGGCGTCCCACATGCCACAACCAGAAGGACCTGCAACTAAGATATACAACTATGTACTGGGGGAATTTGGGGAGATATAGCAGGAAAAAAAAAAAGATTGGCCACAGTTCTTAGCTCAGGTGCCAATCTTTAAAAAATAAATAAATAAATAAGTCCAGTTTCAAAGAAATTCTACACTAAAAAGAAAGCTTTATGTGTTCATTCTTCTATCATTTATATTCTACTATAAAGGTAAGTTTATAATAGAATACAAAATTTTGATTAAAGTTTAAGAGAAACAGGTGCAAAATTTTTTTCAGTAAACAAAATCAAAGTGTTAATATCACTATTATGTGTAACTCCTAAAATTGATAAAAGAAAATTAAGCATCTAATAAATAAATAACCAAAGGATATAAACAGATAATTCACATCTAGTAAGCAAATATATGGAGAAATTACAACACTCTCTAGCAATAAAAGAAATGTAAAATAAAAGAGAACAACAAAGTGCCACTTTTAACATAGCACATAAGCAAATATACACAGAGAGAGAGACACAATATCCAACACTGGCAAAAAGTATAGCAAAACACTTGTGGATTGCTAGTGCAAATTGTTATAATCGTTTTGGAAATAATTTGGTAATACTACTTAAAAAGCATAAAAACGTTCATTCCCTTTTATCTACATCTGGGAACCAATCATAAGGAGATAATCCACATAATTAAAAATGTGGAAAAGTTATATTTATAAAAATGTTTGTTGCCTCATTGACTATAATGGAAAAAAGAATCTAAATGCTCAATCATGGAGGGTGATTTAATTATGTCACATTAACAAGAATACACTCTGCCTGCATTTTAAATGTTGGCTATTAAGAAAACACAGCAATATAAAGTTATTTTATGTTAAGTGAAAAATCAGGATATAAAATGGGATTGCACTCTGCTTAAAGCTATGTAAAAATCTAAACAGGAAGCCACACTAGAAAGAAATGCATTAAAAAGATAAGAATGGTTGATTTAAGGTGACAGGATTATGAGCGATTTTATTTTGCCAATTTTCTGTAATATAATTTCATTACTTCTATCATTATGATTAAATGAATAAGATTCCTTTTGAGAACTGTAAAATTACAATACTACTGTTTAATAACATTAAAATTAATAAATTTTCTATTGTTTTGCTAAGACTAAAAACAATGAACATTAAATTCTTAAACTCCATTTGCTTTTAAAACTATTTCCTGTACTATAGAAATATTGAGCTGAGTAAATTTCTGGAGAAGAGTGACACTCTGTGGAGAAACAATAGATGAAATAGAAAGTAATTCATCTCTTACTTCTTCATTACTTCCATTAGTTCAAAAAGGAAAAAAATAGAATAATATGAGTAAAGTCAGAATAAATCAGTGGCAGTTTAAGGGCCATAATTTGAACAAAGAAAATTGACAATCTGAAAAACAGCTCCAAGGAACATAATTAGGAATATGCAGGGATGATAAGGGTAAGGATTATAAATTATGGAGCCTACTCTTTTCAGTCTAAAAGTGCCTGGATTATGTTTCTGAGAGAATCAGGAAATACCTGTAAGTAGCCATGTATATCAGAATGTAGATTACTGCAATGTCATTACGCGACCTAAGGCATTCACTAACCAACTCAGAATAAAGTTTTTTGTGTACCAGTGAATTTTTTTATTCAGACACAGACACACACACATGCATATATGCACACGTGCGCGTGCAAAGCAACCAAGAATCAGTTGGTTTGAACTGATTCTTCAAACAAAACGTTATAAACAGAATATAGATAGAGGTAGTTTTACACAGGAAATATACCCCTTAAAAGTTAAGAGTAAACCAAACTTACGCTAAAATAGTGCATATAACTTTGAGATGCCTTAAAATGTGAAAAACTTGCTTAACTCCAAGTTTATAACAGAAACCACCCTAAAGAATGAAGGGGTGAGTTCTTTTTAAAATCCGACAAACCAAAGGAAGAAAGAATCCTCTATTGTTTCAGCAAAAATTTTCCAATTAAGTTTCGAAATAGGAAAAGTACCATGATTGGTTCATAAAAGATGTCCTTGAGTATGGAGACAAGTGGAGGGACATGTACCCCTGCATATTGCCTGCTTTTATAAATTCAGTAGGGTTTTTTCAATTGAGATATAATTGACATATAACACTGTATTAGTTTTAGGTGTACTCAGTGTATGTTTCTATAACTATCTCAAATCATTGGTAAATATATCCTTGTTAACGACCCAAAGGCTCTGTTAATGTTTTTATTTCATGGCTTTTATAAATTAACAGCATGTTTATACTTTTAAGCTTTCAAAAATGGATAAACCATATTTGTCATCTCCTTTTATCAATTTCCATATTTAATTATAAATATCTATAGTTCTTAAATATTTGAATCATTTCTTCATGTTGTCTTTTATGTAATACTTTAAAAATGACAAATGCGTGAATATTTGTTGTATGAGCTCTTCTTCTATACCCTAAGAAAACTGTCTCATGTGGGTTTACTATAATATTGTAAGAATTTCTTTTGTGTTTGTGTTTTACCATTACTGTTTTGAATAATTCAAGTATCAGAAACTCACATAAAAAGGAGTGGAAGTGGAATGGAAATCAGTATTTCAGGCCTGTAATCACAATCACAGAGTCAAGCACCTATAAACCTGGTATGGGGGTTAAGGGCGGCCTCCGGAGCCACACTGCCTGGGTTTCATCCCTATTCCTACTACTTCTTAGCTACACGATTTTAGGCAAATGACTTAACTTCTCTGTACCTCAGTCTCTTCACCTGTAAAATGTAAAGAATAAAAATTACAGTATACCTACCTCATGGAATTGTTGGTAGAATTAAATTAATAATATATAAAGCACTTGGCACTTTGCCTCTACAGTTGGGAGCTGTTAACAGGGACCAAACAGGCAAATGAGTGAGGCAGGTTGGGTGTCTGTGGAGTGCAACTGTGTGCACGCTCGGGCCTATGGAAACTTGGAGGACCAGTGTCTCCATTAAAGAGGGCAGAGGGTAAAGCAAATCCACTCCCACCACTGATGTGTAGAAATGCAGGCCCGTTATATTAGTTTCCTGTGGTTACCACAAATTACCACAAACCGGCAGCTTAAAACAACAGAAATGTATTATCTCACAGTTCTGGAGGCTAGAGTCTGAAATCAAGGTATCAGCAAAGCCACATTCCTTCCAAAGGCTCTAGGGGAGAAACTATTCACTGCTTCTTCCAACATCTAGAGGCTGTTGGCATTCTTTGGCCTTCCTTGGCTTGAGACCGCATCACTCCAATCTCCTCCATCTTCATATCACCTTCTCCTCTGTGTCTTCTCCTCTTCTGTCTCAAATCTCCCTCTGCCTTTCCCTTATAAGGACACGTGTCTTTGAATTTAGGGCCCACTCTGTAATCCAGAATGATCTCTTCATCTCAAGATTCTTAATTACATTTACAAAGACCACTTTCCCACAAAAGGTCACATTCATAAATTCTTGGAATTAGAACATGGACATATCTTTTGGGGGGGCCATCATTCAATCCACAACACCAGTATTTCCAATCTTCTGGTTTTATAAGCATAGTAGGAAATATGGATTTTTATGAGTAATTTCCCAGCATTTAAGTGTTGGTTTACATATGTAATATATAACAATATTGTTATAACATTATTGAAATGAAAAACTAAAGAATCTTATTTTAATTTTCTAGGTTAGTTGTAATATATAGAATGAAGATGTAAAAAGGTCACAGTTTGCAAGAGTTAAGCCAAGATGCTCAGGTGCCCAAACAACTATTAAACAAAGCTGAAAGATAAATGACAGGTCAATTATATGTGACATGATTGTCTTTGTAAAGATTTGAAAGCCCGTTATCTTGAAGAAACATACATAGGGTTGATCTCATAGATTTAAAACATGCATATATATCTTCAGATCTGCTTGTACATGAAGTAACTTTAGAATGATACACACACACACACACACACACACACACACACACACAGTATCATGGTTATCTCTGGGGGAACTAGACAGTTTGGAATACATATCACTGTATATCTTTTTCTATTAATTTTAAGTTTGAACCATGCCGATGCATTATCTCTTCAAAAAATAAATTTAATAAATAAACTTTTCTTTTAAGTCCATAGGCCATATATCTAACACTGGTTGCAGAACAGAATTAATCAAACTTACATTTGTAGTTCATGGAGCCAATATAAAGTTTTTGCCATGGCTTGTCCATCATTAGAATGTGATGTTGGAACCCCAAACAAGTTAAACCTATGGAAACTTGAAGGGTTATACTTTCGGTTCTTTGCTTCTCCTGTGGGAACAAAGGAAGACTTCTGACTTAAGCAACACAAATAACCTTATCTTGCAAGAAGCACATTATGTTCTCATTGACAATGAAAATGAGAGTGGGAAAAAGAATGAAATTGTAACAGTACGGGCATTGCACAGACTTGGCTACAGATGACAGAAGCATTCTCCCACCTGAGCTGGGAGCCTGGTGGGACAAGAGTGCCTCGCGTTAATACTTGGAAAGTACTTAGGGAAATGATGTAGGAGAAAAGACAGATATAAATGATGAAAAGTGTAGGCCCCATTAATTTTACAGAAATCCTGAAGCTCAAGGGAGGCACTGCAATGCTTTGGGAGCCCAGCAGTCATTTCCACTGTGCTCAGATTTGAGAGGTTGGTGTTTTGTACTTGCTCTCACTGAGATTTGGCGATATCAGCAGAACATTGCAACCCTTGCATTTCATTATCATCACTTATCTCATATTAGAAACATTCAAAAGGTGATTGAGGACTGAGAACCCAACAGAGTTTCTTTATAAATAAGATCTAATACTGTACTTTTTTCAAGTCATGATGTGGTGCTAGTTTTCTATTTCTAGACAAGAAAGCAAGGCTAAAACTAGAGATCAGCTAAAAGGTTAAGAAATGATGGAGAAAAGATTTTCAGCCTCACTAGCAACCCAAATAATGTAAATAAAAACAATAATGTGAAATTGTAATTTGTCTCTCAGTTAAGTCAAAATAAAGAAGACTGGCAAAGTTCACTACTGGGGAGAATGAAGGAAAATGGAAATTCTCATACACTGCAGGTGTGAGGGCAAATTGGGGCAGCTATTCAAGTGACAGTTTGGCTCTAAGAGTGAATATTTCAAGTGCTCATAAATCTAGGAATATATCCTAAGGAAATAGATCACATTGACAAAGATATATAAACAATATATTTCTGTAATACTGAAAAGTACAATACAGATGCTGATGTGAAAACACAACCAAGATATTTCATAAAATGGGAGAGAAAAGCAAATAAAAAAAGTTTATAGAGTAGGGAACAAAGCAGACACATGTACTTATACATGAGTGTGCAAAGAAAAACATCTACGAAAGTATCATCTGTGGAAGATTGGGAATTGTGGGAGATTTTCATTGTACTTTATATATTTCTTTGTGACTTGCATTTTATAAAAGAAATACTATTACTTTAGCAATGATTAAATTAAGTATATTTAAAAGATGTAGATATATATTTATTGTTACTGAATAGCGTCCTTGATGTATTATTTTAAATAAAAAATTCTACATGTATATGGCAGATTCCCCAAAAGCATGGAGAGTATTCTGCCATTTAACTAAAGAGAGAGGGCTCAGTGGATGGAGGTGAGAAAGATGCTCAATATATCAACTGTAGTTATCTCTGGCTAATGCGATTTCAAGATTACATTTACTTTTTCTTCATTTTTTCATAATATTTAAATTCTTTACAATTATTATATATTTTTATAACAAAAAATAAAGCTACTTTAATTGAGAAAAAAATAAGGACAATATTAAAAAGATCAGATTCTATGACTTTCCAAGAAGCCAACGAAACTTCTGTACAAATCAGCAAATGAAGGTAATTTCAGTAATTCTATAGCCCATTAGAACTCTTGTAAACATAAAAAAAAACTACACTCATTTTCCTCCAATTAATAAATGCATGTAAGATATTTCATTATAGGTTGTATATATATATACATATATATATATTCATTGCTATAGTTCCTTTTTAAAACAATTAAAAGACATTGGATTAGATTGTGTGATAGGTGCTAAACTTTTCCAAAAAACGAATAAAATATTTTCCCAAGAAAGGGAAGGAAGACTAAAGGAAGGGAGGACCAGAGAGAGAAAAGGAAGAAAGGAAAGGAGAGAGCCAGAGAAGAAGAGAAGGTGGAAATAAGGAAAGAAGTCAAGGTTGTGAGAAAGAAGATGGTGACCGGTGACCAAGTGGGTGGAAGTAGTGGCAGTCGAATGAGAGGGTAGAGACAATCTCAGGACTGGGATCATGTTAGAAAGTGTATGGAACCAGCAGAGACTGGTCATGAAAGAAGAGAATGGCAGATTCCAGACAGTGGAGCAATGGGCATAGGAGACAAGCCCCAGCAGTGAGAAGAAGTCTAGGAGGAAGAGCATAGAGAGGGAGCATGGTGCGAGAGGGTGGTTGAGAAGAGAGAGTAAAGAAATAAAGAGGGAGTGGGGGAGAGAGGGGCCTTGCACTGCAGTGAAGGACAAGTCTTGCTTCTAGCTAATGAAGACTGAGTTCATGAGTCTGCACAATCCATTGGCTTTCTCAGGACACTTATGACAGGCTAATTTTCAATCCTTGATTGTATCAAGACACTACTGAGCATCGACTTGTCAACAATTAAGTTGTATTTTACAGCACCATAAACATCTAATGCCTTTTAGTTGTGCTATAGAATAATTCTAGTAATAGGCTACCATTAGACAAAATCACTTACTACTACTACTACTAACAATAGCTAATAGTTATTGAGCCTTTACTACGTACCAGGCACTATGCTAAGTATTTTGCAGGCACTCAGTTAATCCTCAGAATGTTATTATCCCCAGTGAAGAGATTAGATTAGATGACTATAGGATAAGTAAAATATCCAATGTACAAAAATTAGTAAATGGACGAGCTAGGATTTGAACCTGATCTATCTGACTCAAAAATTTGTGCATTTGACCATTACCCGACTAAATGAACAGCCTTTTTTAAGCTTAAAACCACTAAAATGAGATAAGACTGTCTAACACAATCTTTCTTAGCTATTTCTTAATTTTTTCACTTTACTGATACATATATTTCTACACTTTACAAAATGTGTAATGGTATGTTTTCCCAGCTCTCAGGGTTTATGACCTTACGAATAGTAAGTTATTATCTATTGATCACCTATTATAGGCCAGGCATTTAACTTAATGCACATTATCTCCTCTATTCCTCTTCACAAATCTGAAAATCCTATATCCTCAGGCCAATTTTATACGGGAGGACACTTACCCACATAATAATCATTGTGAGAAACAATATACAGATCATGTCCTTCCTTTCCTTCTTTAAACACTTCTTCAAAGGGTTTTGGAGGATTCACCACGTCTCTAGCAGACAACTCTGAAGGAAGAATTAGTTAAATCAGTTTTAAGGTATTTTTCACCTATTTATAACATACTTAAATCACCTAAAACAAATGACAAATGCTGATTGCATAAGTTACGTGGGCACCCCAGAAGAACACAAAGCTGACATAAATGAAGATTTATCAAGAGAGAGGCTAGAGCCTAGGGACCACTGATCTAGGGACCCCTACTTGACTGGGCTCACTCCCAGAATTCTGAAGAATACCAGAACTCTGTATTGGTTAACGGTTCAGGTTGTCCTGAGCCGTATTCCAAGCCTGGTTAAAATCCTGATTCTGAGAATCTCAGGACAATTTTGATTTTAGCTTGCTCCAAACTTCCCAAAATGATCTAAGCAAATTTGAATCACAATCCGTTTCAGAAACCTGATGCCCTGTGGTGCCTTGGTGCAAATTTTCACAGCTGTAGACTGGAGCGCACATCCTGAGTCTGTTTTGATCTGAATATCCATCTTCAAAGCAGCCAAAGTGCAGGGAAATCACTGGAATCAGGAAGAAATTCTTCCAACTGGTCCCAAATCTAGAGCTTTAGGATGTTCGCTTAACAGCTACTTTCCCATGACTGGTGGTCCCCAGTTTTGTATACAGTGAATTAGTTTGTTTTTATTGTCTTATGTAATAATTTTTAAATATAATTCCATTTACAATTTCATGCTTCCCTTTCAACCTAACAACATAGATGAAGATGTTTCCTTCCTTTTGGACTTTCTGCCAAGAATTGGGAACTGTAAACAAGCAGTTAAGCTACCAGAAGGTGGTCCTATTCAAAACAACCCTGTAAAGCAGCACATCTTTTGATACATGAAGCATTACACCTATTAATACAAATATACATGTTTTGGAGCATTCTGTCTATTACATATTTAACTGAGGCACACTTAGACAGTACTTTCCACAATAAATGGACTAATCCCAGAGATCAGTTATGATATAATTACTGTAATGCTATAATGCCATGTCTACATAAATACAATTTTTTAATCCTATGAAAAAGAGAAAAAGATATTTTATCTGTTCTGAAACATTTTTTCATGTTTCAAATTTTAACAAATTTTAACTTTAGATCTGATACAAAATAGCACAACTGCAGATTTTGCATTCCAAGAGAGGCATAATTTATCTCCAGAGTGGATGTTACTATGTTAAGGAAAATAATCTAATGGGCCTTCTGGTGAAAAAAAGATAAAGTTCCTGGAGCAGAGACTTAACGGGTGCAGAAAGACAAAGAGAGAACAGAATTTCTCTGCAGGGTAAAGAAAGATAGATTTTGAGGTTTCCTATGTTAAGACCCCCGGAGAAAGGAGGTAAGAGACTGAAAAGGGCAGTAGGAGATAAATGTGAGAACACTATAAAGAAAGTCACCCAACAACATGCCGGAGGCTACGGTTTCATAAGAAACAATGGCTTGTGACCAATTCTGTTATAAGTTGTTGTTTGTTGAAAGATGTGTTCCACTCCCACTCAAAACGAGAATGAAAGTCTGCTCTACATACCGCCTGTGTTTGGTTAATACGCAAGTAGACATGGTGGATCCGCATGAATGGAGCAGTACACAGCATTTACCAAACTCATTTGCTCCATGGTCTACTTTATGAAACAGAGTTTCGTAAAGACTTAAGAGTTATGAACACATTAGAGGCACTGATGGAAATAGAACACACACATGGACATCCAGGGAAAAGCACTGCAGCCTTAACAGCTGGCCCTCACGTCAACTTTCCTGAATCTCTTCCCTGTCTTTATACTATCTCTTCTACGCTCACTGAGTCTCCACTCCAAAACCTGAAGTTTTACTGCCTTGGCACACATAAACTCTAAGGATTCTGAGTCTGAGAGTAACTTTCTTGCTATGATCCCATCTTTCATCTTGAATCATCATTTATACCACCACTAAAGACCACACCAACGGGATATTCAGTCCTATTTTCTAAGAAAACTTATCTTACCACCCATTATTTTTTTACTACCTCTGACGACTGCTGTCCCAAATGTCGTATTGAGTATATCCAGGCCTTTGGGTAATCCTGGTGTCTGATCATGAGATTTTCCTAATGGTGCCCGTTGATGGCTAAAATATACTGATTCCTTTTTGTCTTTAATTTTCTGTTGAAATGCTGTAATAGGCTGTGGGTTTAGCAACACCTTTGCCTAAAGAAATCAAACAAAGCACAGATATAACAACAGAAAAAGTAAAAATCTGAAAACTGAAATTCTAATCAATACCTGGGGAGAAGAGAATATGATTTTGGAAAAACATTTCATTAGCATTGCCTTTGCTCATCTTCAGATGAACTGTCAGAATTGGGGCTATGAAGCTTAAACATTAATTTTCAATGGAGTCAAAATGTTTCCATGTGGCTAAAAAGTTTTATGAGGGGAGCTCCCCAGTTACTCAACTCAAATATTCCAGAAAAGTGAGAATGTCAAGCATAAGAACCATGTGATTTCCACAAGCTCTCTCTAGGTATATAGATCAGGTCTTCTGAATCTAGACTGGCCATTCGATCAATAGCAGGTAAGAGTCAGGCCCCGCCTCCACTCAATGTACATAAAAGCACTCTGCAGTGCCTCTAGACAATATCGCCCAGTCTTTGTCCTCTCTGTTCCTAACAAAGCCAGACAGTATTTCTCTTTACTGCAAGAAAATGGAGCACAATTCAGCTTTTATTATCTAAGAGGAGAATATATAGTTTGTGGCTCAAACCATTAATTTTCACAATACTCTCTCGGCTGCTGCTTAGGGATTTTTTTCACTGCTCAAGATGAAGAGTGGGAAGGAGATTGGAACTGATGATTTCACTAATGCCTCATTTGTGCATTTCACCTCAGTAAATTAATAATGTACAGGTAAAAAAAGAAAAGAAGTTACCGGTATTGAAATTTCAGATCTTATTCCATGTGTCAAATAAGGTGCAATTTGAGGGTCATTCGCTCTGCCGTAAAACACCCTTTCGGCTCCAGCAGGTGGATATCTGAAGTTGAAAAATTTTTTTGCCTCAGGTGGAGTAAGTAGCTACAAACAGTGAGACAAGAAAATAGAATTATTAAGTATAGTTTTTTAAATATTAGCAGGACTGATCTATACCAATCAATGAACACCCTTCATTGCATGCATGCAGTAAGTACATGGTGAGCTACAGCCCCAAATCATGAAACTTCCCAAAATTTATGTTTTTTTAATGGAAATAAACAACATATTTTAAAAGTTATGTTTAGAAAACAATCAGGAAGTATCCAAATTAGAAAGCATACCATAAATGACAATTTCCTATTGAAATAAATGGAATCTCCAGTAGTTTTGGAGAGTTGCAAATTCTAAGCCTGGAATTTTCACTTCCTTGGACAAACTCAATAGAAGACGTCAAAACACAGTAAAGAATCCGATTGACCACGTTCAATTTATACAAGTTTCAGGAGGAATGTTGAGAGTCGTCTATTGCATGTTCACACAAATGCATATGGAAAATGCTCACCCTGGGAAGTTTTTCAGTCAAGCAGGCTGCAACTCTGTATCCAACAGGAAAAACTTTCCCTGCCTAAGAAAAAAACGCAGTAGTTAGCATTGTCAGAGTAGAGGGGGAGCATTATGAAGAATGGAATTTATTTCAAATTTGACGTACAGTCTTAATGCTACAAGGTTACTTTCTACTACTTAACACAATTAAGAACAAAAGTAAGGACAAATAGCAAATCTAAAGCAATTGTGATAAAACATAAACACTAAATGCTAAATATATATACGTATACCTTTTTACTCTGCTAGCATTGTCAGTGATCTACCCGATTCCAGGACCTCTGTCACATGCTGAGCGATTCAACTTTCAGAAATAATCTTGTCATAGTTCACAGGCTAATTATAGGAGTATGGCTGCACTCAAGCTAAACTCAAGATAAAGTGTTAGGTGTTTCTGTGTAAGTATGAGTGTGTTTGTGTGTGGGTGTATTTCCATCAACACCCTAACTTTTGACATGTGCAAACATGTCACGTCTTGCCAAGTGCCTTCAGTGAATGGCCCAAATCTCACTTGCCTTTGTTCACTTAATTCTAACTTGGGTCTGATCTGTCCTTTCTTTGCCCAAAGCAAAGATTATAACTGTTCATTCCCAGCAATGTGCCTCTTATCTATTTCCCCTTTATCATTTCAAGACAGCTGAGAGTTATTTCTGCAAAGTATAAGTTTTTCTTTAAAAAAACTGAGAGAGGGGCCGGCCCAGTCACGTAGTGGTTAAGTTCCCACACTCCACTTCAGCAGCCCGGGATTCATGGGTTAGGATCCTAGGCATGGACCTACACACCATTCATCAAGCCGTGCTGTGGCAGTATCCCACATACAAAATAGAGGAAGCTTGGCACAGATGTTAGCTCAGGGACAATCCTCCTCAAGCAAAAAAAGGAATATTGGCACCAGATATTAGCTTAGGGCCAATCTTCCTCACCAAAATAAAGAAAGAAAGAAAAACTTTAAAAAAAAAAAAAAACCTGAGAGAAAGAAACTGCCCATAAAGAGTGTTCTGGGCCTCTGGAGGGCCATGGCGGGAATCAGTTAGGACACAGAAAAGCAGAGAGATTGAGAGTTGGGTGGATGGATGAATGGTAGATGCTGGAGGAGGGATGGCTACATTAGATAAATATAGGGACGGCTGGATGAAAATATAGACAGACAGATATAGACGGATAGGTGAAGGGTTTTTATTATGTCAAATATCGAGTGCAGAATTCCTCTTTGGAGGAGAACCAACAAGGTTTAAGAGAGTATCTTGATGACATCTCTGTGTATAAAAAAAGAAGCCCAGAGCGGGCCCAGTGGCACAGTGGTTAAGTTCACACATTCCACTTCAGCAGCCCGGGGTTTACCAGTTTGGATCCCAGGTGCAGAACTACGCACCGCTTGTCAAGCCATGCTGTGGCATGCGTCCCATGTATAAAACGTAGAGGAAGATAGGCATGGATGTTGGCTCAGGGCCAGTCTTCCTAAGCAAAAAGAGGAGAATTGGCAGCAGATGTTAGCTCAGGGCTAATCTTCCTCAAAAAAATTTTAAAAATTGAGAAGCCCACAGACATGGCCAGACAGAAAAGTTAATTGCTTTGCTAAAAAATGGGAGAAAATGTGAACTATTGACAGGATAGACTAAGGAAGGAAGAATTAAAGGAGATGATAGATAGATTGAGAAGAAAGTGAAAGGAAGGCAAGATCTAGCAAGAAGATGAGCAGGGCCAAGATGAGAAACTGGCCATGAAGCAGCAGCCCAGCCTTAATGCCAAATCTTAAGTAACTTCTACTCACACAGCTACGTTATGTGAGGAGAACCTTGTGGAAAAAAGAAAAGGCTGTGTTCCAGCTTGGGGTGAAGGCAGGGTGGAGGAAAGGGAGGAGAGATACAAGTGATTTGTAATTCAGCTGGAAATTATAAGAATCTTATAGATATCAGGGAACATAATCTTTTTTGCTATACATGTTATAGGAGCTCCAGTCATTCTTTTAAATAGTCAGAGGAAAGATGACCTCATGAGGCTGAAGAACACAGAGATACCAAGGCAGCTACTCTCTGTGTCATAGGTGGTTAGAGAGATAGAAGGAAGAATGGATTGATAGTTGGATCAATCAGTCCATGGCTGGACAGATAATTCTACTTGTCTCTCATCTGCTTCCTTTCCAAGTGCCTGACAGCAGACATTCTAGTTTTCCAGCATTGTAAATAGTCTATTGGACAGAAATACCCTTGGTATTCCTCATAGAGTTGCCCAGAGTAAAAGCAATTTGATTGCAAATCAGTAGCTGTGATTAGGTTTTGATGTCCTCATGCCATTTGATTGGAGACACAAAAATGAAAGCCATTATGTTGGATTTCTATCTATAGTCTCATAATATATTTGAAAGTCTCCCCTACCCCACGCCAGTCATGGAGCTCTCTTTTTATTTCAGTTGTTCTCAAGGATGCCCGTTCATCAATCTGAGGTGTGAAGGGTAGCAGAATATGCCACCCCAAAATATGCCTCTTTGGCATAAGGATTATCTAGGGCTGATATTTTAAGAAACAGCAGATGTGAGAGAAGTTCTGAAAACAGAGTATAAGCTATCCTTTTGTAAGGGACATTTATATTTTACACAGGAAATCACTTGTAAAGATGTCTCCCTCTCTGTACCAGGAAAAGAAGGATGACTCCAAAACTCCAGAAACTCTTATCAATGGAGAAGGCACTGAATTAAATCTGCATAACAAATCTTACCCTTGTTTATCATGCTTTCCCTGGTAACCTCCCATAACTGGCCTTGTCCTTGCCCCAACATCTTTCTTTTGTCTTTGGCTAATGATAGTATTTAAGGTGATGGCTTGGGCCATACAGGGGAGTTACTCAGTTTTCCTGCATATCTCCCACTTATAAATGAGGCGTACATGCTAATAAATTTCTGTTTGTTTTCCTCTTGCTAATCTGTCTTTTATGATAGGGAGTCTTAGCCAAGAACTCAGAAGGGTAGAGGGAAAATTATTTTTCCTCCCCTACAGTTTTTCCACCAATTCCCACAACATTAAATACACTCTTTTCTTCATAGCCTACACTTTGAATCTGGCTATCCCAAACATACTCTCCAAGTTTGGTGAAAATCTATTGTGTCACTTTTCATGCGGCTCAGTAAGAGACAAACCAAATGAAATTGTGTTTTATTATATAGATATAAATTAAATACACTAAATATGCAGCAATGGGCAAATGGCTAAATGAACTATGGTGCTGTCCAATGATATGCTACTGTGGAATCATTTTAAATGATGTATACAAATAATTTTTAATGGTATAGGGAAATTTTCATGAGATAATGTGAATTAAAACAAAGACATACATTTGCATCAGACAAATACACAGAATCACATCTCTATACGCAGTACACACAGAACACAGACAAAAAGTTGTTAGTTGTGAATCTATTTCTGAGTGGCAAGATTACAAGTGACTTTTATTTTCTTCTTTGTCCTATCCATCTTAATATTTTCTACTATGCATTGCTTTATTAAGCAAAAGAAAGCAACAGGTATCAAAAAGTCTGTAAACAACATCAAACAGAAGGAAAAGCAAGAGCACTAGAAACTAGGAATAATAATCAAGCATCTGCAGACCCATGACAGAATTTAAAAGCAGCTTTAACGGTCCTGAACTCTAAAAGGTGGCCTAGGGTGATCCAATGACCTCCCTAACCTGAGAAAGAGAAAAGTGACGTTCCCTGAGACTTCCTTTTGCCTCAGGGGCTTTGGTGTTAGAATCCGGCCAAGAAACATAGACAAACATTAGGTGTAACCCATCCTCCAACAGGCCCTAAAACACTCTGGCAGTACTCTGAACTCCTAGCAGGGACCCCTTCCTCCACCACCAGGCCTGGGTGGAGCTCCTTAGCGCTGTTCCCCAAACTTTAGTCCCACGATCACTTACAGTTAATAGATATAGTAAAAAAAAAAAAAAAAAAAAAAAAATTCTGCTGGCAAAAACTTGGGAAATGCTGGATCTTTAACACACCAATGTACATTTTGAATCTCAAAAGGGAGGATCGTTTAGTGATTTCCCATTAATTCAGCCTTGAAGGCTTTGTTTGTTTTTTGTGACACTAGACTAGCCTTGCATGTAAAGCCCTATAGGAAAACCTAGCCAGAAGTTTCATTTCTCTGTTTCTACTACTGACTTCATTTATAAAATAAAAGTCCTATTTTCCAAGGTCGGCAATCAAAGGAAAATTTCCATATAGGTAAGACAGTGAGTTTTTAATAACATAAATCTTTTCTCCTTTCTCTTAAAGACTTCTTTCCAGTTACCATTCTCAACCACAGATTGGTTTTAGAGAAAGAAGTGCTGCCCCCTTAATTCTCAGGCTCAAACTTACATTAATTCCCCACAACACAACTAAGCCCAGCCTGGAAAAAACACTTTAATAATGGCCAGCAGATTATTTCAAAGGAGAGAGGGAGAAGAAGATAAAGTCTCAAATCCAAGGAGGAAAAATGAAACCAAATAATCTATTTTACAAGGTATATGCATCTACATCTTTGCGGCTCCCGCAGCAAGGACTCCCTACCCAATTCGTCACTCACCTCCACGCAGTATTGTTTTAGCACCCATCCCCCAGAAGGACAAGCCTATGCTCCTCCAAGTTCAAGTCATTTATACAGGACAGATAAGGCAAGGAGGCCATATGGCCGCCGCATTCAAGTGTTAAAAGAACGAATGCCTGTCGTTATTTTCTTTCTTTCTTTGTTTTCTCTATCTTTCAAAATTAATTTTTGTCTAAGCAACATGTGTACTCCATTTAAAAATCAGAGTTGTAATAAAAAACAGCATTTCTCTGCCCCATTCATACGTAGTCCCGCTTTCTAGAGATAACTGCCTTCTTCACTTGCAGCTATTTTTTCTGGTATTTATCTTGACATTTCTATACAATCTCCTTACAGTGCTATGCATTGATTAATTAGTTTCAGACATCATCCACTGACTCCCTTTTATGGTCTAGAAGGCTAGAGCTCTCTCATACCATCACTACTTCTGCTCTCCCATCCTCTCAATAAGGCTACATCACAATTTTGTATAAAGCCAATAGTGTTGCCATTATCATAATTAGATTACTGTTCCCTGCTGAACCAAGAATGTGTATGTTATTTTTTCATAATCATCACCTTTGGTTTGCTTTTTTTTAAAAGATTTTATTTTTCCTTTTTCTCCCCAAAGCACCCTCGGTACATAGTTGTATATTTTTAGTTGTGGGTCCTTCTAGTTGTGGCATGTGGTATGCTGCCTCAGCATCACCTGATGAGCGATGCCATGTCCGCGCCCAGGATCTGAACTGGCGAAACCCCCGGCTGCTAAAGCAGAGCGCTCGAACTTAACCATTCAGCCATGGGGCTGGCCCCTGCTTTTTTTTTGATGTGCCTATCTCTATATTTTTCCAAGTGATCCATCTGATCTGTTTAACTTTAAGGGTGTATTCTTTTTATTATAAACTCCCTCCTACAACGCTTCCTCTTCCTGCTTCAACCCCAGCTGGTTGCTCTTTAGGTCTGGTGCAGAGTCCTTGTCCTCAGAATGGTTCCTTTGCCATACTTTACTACTGGATTGCCCATTCCCTGGATTCCATCTATTCCTCCTTTTGGGTCTATGCTCCCATTTCACTGAAATAAATTCTTTAGTCATTTCCTAAGACTTTATGGCTTTATGCATAAAAAGCCAACTTCTGTTTCCTTACATCCTTGAAAATGTCTTTATTCCACTCTTACCTTTGGTTAATAGTTTGGCTAGGTATAGAATACAAGGTAGCAAATAATTTTGTTTCTGAATTGAAGGCATTATGCCACTGTCCTTTAAAAGACGGACTTGCTATGGACAAGTCTGATGCAGTTCTGAATTTTGCTCCACTGTATGTGACTTTTTTCCCCCCTATGGAAGTATTTAGAATCATCTCTGTATTCCTAGTTTTCAGAATTTCACAGTAATGTTCCGTGTAATGGGTCTACTTTCTTTCACTTGACTCGATCCTCAGTTAACTCCTTGGATTCTTGATTTGTATCCTTCAAGGAAATTTTGCCATATTTCTTGGATAACATTTTTCTGCTTTATCTATTCTCTCTTTCTGGAACTACCATTAATCAAATGTTTTCTAATCTTTTTCTTTTTGTTTCAATGCCTGAAAAATGTCTTTGACTTCATCCTCCAGTCTTCTATTGAATTTTTATTTAAATTATCATATTTAAGTTCTAAAAGATTCTTCCTTCTTCTCTGGTTTTTCTCTTAAAACTTTTAACCTTGGGCTGGCCTGGCGGCACAGTGGTTAAGTTCACAGGCTCCACTTCAGCAGCCTCGGGTTCTCCAGTTCTGATCCTGGGTGCAGACCTATACATCACTCATCAAGCCATGCTGTGGTGGCATCCCACATAGAAGAACTGGAAGAACTTACAACTAGGATATGCAACTACGTACTGCGGCTTTGGGGAGAAAAAAAAGTGGTAGACTGGCAACAGACGTTAGCTCAAAGTTTCAACCTTGTTTTATGGATGCAACATCTTTTCTCTCTCAGATAATCTTTTTGGTTTGTTCACATTTCTCTCTGTTCCTTCTATGTTTGTATCTATATTTTCTCTTAGCTTGTTTTGACCTTTCCCTTTCAAGCTGGAGTCTGATCATCTTATTAAAAAGGTAGGCCCTACAAAGATGATTAGTAGTTCTGTGTATATTGCAGGGTTTGTTGGCCCTTGGGCTTCCCTATAAGCTGATGAGATGATGAGGCAGTCTTTATTTTGGTAGAGTCCCCAGTAAGAATATTTTTCCTCTAGACTACTCAGACTTTCCAGAGAATAATAATAATAGTTGACAATTACAAAGCACACAGCATGTACTGAACACAGTTCTAAGCGTTTGATGTGTATTAATTCATTTAATACTCATAATTATTTCTATGAGGTAGGTACTATTACCATCACCATCTTCACTGAGTAACAAGGTTACCCTGCTTATATATTGGCAGATATCTGAACCCAAGCAGGCTGGCTTTCAAATCTCTACTCTTACTCATCATGCACTACTGCCTCTCTATGCACTGCCTACTGGAGAGGGCTGGCTTTACTCCTGGCTGCTGGCTCTCAGGGGCCCCTTGGGAGAGGAAGCTAGGGAAACTGCTTTACAGAAAGTACGTTTTTACTTATTTTTCACTTTTTCTCATATCCCGGCGCTTGATGATAGAACCAGCGGACTGGAAGCTGGTGGCACTGAAGACATGACGCCCAGGTGGCTGGAGCCCTTTCCCTTTGCCTCTGTACATTACAGGGACGCCCAATCTCTGCCCAAAAAAGGAGGGTACTCTTTACTTGTTAATGCCCCATGGAGCTTCCTCGCCCCCCTACCTCGCACCTCTTCCCACTCCTCCCCCACCGCCTTATCTTCAACTTGGTGTCTTTGACTCCAAAAACCACTTAAGGAAAATAAATCTACAGTTTTGGTGGAAGGGAGGGGGAATTGGTACAGAGAAGTAGGGAGTCAGGCTAGCATAGGATGGAGAAGGTACTGGAAACCCAACTATGCTGAATATGGGCTTTCAACCAATCCTTTGATTTTCAGATCCAAGCTTTAACACATCTTCCAAGGGCTGAGCTTCTCAAGGATTATTTCAGACAAATTGAAGCATTTCTGGTGGCAATCACTGTCTGATTTCCCTCAAATATCATTTTTCCTTGCTCTGCAAAATCGGTTGCCATATCTCTGTCTTCCTATTTTCTAAAGTCCATTGAAATTTCTTAACTGCGTGTCCTCTTCTATTTTCTTTTTCCTCGTGGTTTATTATCTTAAAAAAAAACTATTACAGGTCTCAAAAATCAGGAAATTAACATTAATCTAATACTAATATCTAATATAAGGACCCCATTAAAATATCAGCAGTTGCCCCAATACTATCTTTTATAGGAAAAGGAGCAAATCCAAGATCACGGTGTGATTGTTTGGTTCCTCAGCAGACACTATGATTAGACATGTAAGAGATTTACTCCGGAAAACACCCATGAAAGATAAAGGGGGAAAAGTAAGCAGGGAGAGCTCTCAGACCATGACACCTGTGAAAGGTGAGAGAGAAGGAAGTATTAAGAAGGAAGAACTTCAGACTACAGCACAGTTTTGAGAAAATTTTGGCCAGGCCAATGTGTGGTCTCTGAGACTAAGTTTCCTATTAAAGGAATCCCATGTTGTTGGGCAAAAAGGGTCCAGTTGTGGTAGCCCTGCCATGCTCAGGCATTGGGAGCATGGCCTGGTGAACACTGTAGTATATCTATGGGGCAGCAGGTAGACGCTGTCAATCACCTACACTCCTCATAGCAGGTCCTCCTGAAGGGACATATGAGCAAGGCACCACCACAGCCACCGCACATGCACAGAATTTAGTTGTCATGTCTCTTTGTCTCCTTCTGTCAGGAACAGTTCCTAATGTTTCCTTGTCTTTCATGACCTTAACATTTTTTGAGCAGAGGCCAGTTATTTTGTAAAATGTCTCTCAATTTAGGTTTGACTAGTGTTTTCTTATGATTAAAGTTATACATTTTTGTCAGAGATATCACAGACACAATGCTGTGTTCTGTCAGGGAACATACACTGTCAACTTGTCCTGTTACTAGCAGTGTTAACTTTGATCACTAATGAAGGTAATCAAAGTAATGTCTGCTAGGTTTCTCCACCATAAAGTTATTTTTCCTTTGTAATTAATAATTATTCTACATAAATATCCACTTCCTCATTAAACTTTCAACTACTGTTTTAATAGCCATTGATGACTCTTGCCTAAATCATTAGTACTGTGATGGTTGCCAAATGATGACCTAATTCCATCATTCCACCTACATTTATTAATTGGCGTTATACTGCAAGGAAGCTTTCTTTTCTTGCTATTTATTCAATCATTCATGTAGTTATTCAGTATGTGCTCATGGATTTCTATTTTATTCAATGATAATTTTATTCAATGCTCAAAATATAACAGTTGGGCTATTAGGAGCCCCTTCGAGTTTGTTTCTGTGCCTCTTAGACATATCTGCACCATTCTTTGAAAATTTTCTTACTTTTTGGCTCTCAAAGGTGTTCCAAGTTCATATCGTACTGCATCAGCCCTACAGTCAGCCATTCCTCCAAAGAGTCCTGATTCCTTTTAATAGAGAATGGTATTTGGAAATCAAGATCTTGGTTTTGGTGTACTCATTGCTACTAGATAAACATCACTTCTAGGTCCTCTTAGAGGATAGAGTTAGGAAGTGTGTGTATGTATACACACCTGATACACTAGCATCTACATCAATTTTACAACTTTCTATTTAGTTAAATGTGTATAAATACACAGATATGAATTTTGACACGGACATAGACCAGATATAGATATAAATATAGATATGCCACTGATACCTCCAATTATAGTCCAACACAACAGAATTCGTTCTATCCTTCTCCTTTCCATATTTGTAACTCTTTTCTCCATTAGTGAGAATTCTGGCTTCTATTGTCCTCAATAAACTTACTTATCTGCTCAGGCCCTCTTTATGTAACCAAAATCCCAGCTGCACTGATTACCTCCTCACTCAGCCACCTCCTTACTTGGTTCCTAACCATACCAGTGCCACCTCACTTGGCCAGCTCCTCAATCAGTCCCCAATATTACAGCTTTCTGTGACCAAGTACCGTTTTCATTTCTCACACAATTGGTTTCCAAGATTCAGATCAACTCAGGAAAGTTGATACAAGATCATTTTTAGCTCAGAGACCCATAATCATCATGCTGCCTTCCACTCTCCAAACTCAGTGTGGGCTAGCATAACGGTCCTGTATCTCCCACTGGGCCTTGGTCAAGATCACTCTGTTTTACCCATTTATATCCTTAAATCTGAATATCTCAGAAGACAAGTTAAATGTGATAGCATCAATTCCTTTCTGCCCAGAAGGCTCTGAACCCATTATGCAAATGAAACCACCCACTTCTCAGAATTCTGCAAAGATTGGCTTTTTGCAAATTAAGACAAAATGAGTCTTTGTACTTTTTTTTTCAGTACTAGAGCTTGCATAAGTAGCAAGTTCTCACAAGATTTACAAATGGGTGACCCCTTTGCCTCTCCCCATTCCCCCAATAGCTATCAGGTTCTCTTAGCATAGAATAGGGGAAAAAATAAGGCATCCCTCTGCATGACATTTACCATATTATAAAATTATTTGTCTATTGGTCTCAAGCCTCTAGACTCTAAGTTTCTTGAAAGTAGGTAGTGTATCATTTTTCATCTTCGTAGCCCCAGTGCCTAACATACTGTCTAGTCATTGTAGATACTATCATTTTTTTCTTATCCTTTTTTTGAACCTTTCCTTCCTTCATTCTCTTTGTACTTCACGGCTCAATACTGTTTACCAATGCCCTTTATATGGTTCAGTTGTTTTGCTGTAATAACACCAGGGTTTCTGCCATAGTCAGTGCACTAATGGCCGTCAGGGGCCAGGCTCAGGATGTCTTGGAGAAATGACCATTATAGCAATTTTCATCTCAACCAAAATGCTTTCCAGGAACCAAGAACCTTTCAAGGGCCACTAGGCCTTCACATGGAAAGGACCTATTTTTCCCTGAATCATTTTGGATTTTGACGGATACTCTAAAAATCTCTCCTCAAGCCACTTTTTCTTGGAAATTTTTCCTGAATACAGGTCCTTGCTGTCATACCAAAAACTGTTTTGCCAGAAGGACTAGAAGGCCTGAGGGGGTCTCACAAATCCCTTAGAGTACACCTTCACTTGCAGCTCAACCCCAACTCCGGGCAGCAACTTCAAACCACAGGACGAGTGTCCACACAGTGAGATGTATCTGCCCCTCTTCCTCCAACACTAGAAAGGCCTCTCACTGAGATGAGCTCCCCCAGTTCCCTGAATGCACCCTGAACAAAGCAACTGTCCTCAGGGACTGATCTTCGCAGGCTTTTCACAATAGGAATTTCCCTCTAAACTCTCCTCACAGCCAAGTTCGAATCTGGGTTTTGATGTCACTCAAATGCATTTCTTTCCCCCTCTAAAAGTGGATGAACTCGGAGCATCAAATACTTTACCATCCCATCCCTTGGTCAGGATATGGCGTATCTCTTGTCCTTCCGCTTTCAGCTTATCTACCAAATTATATATCATGTGTAGAAAATATACATAATATATATACTGTGACAAGCATAAAGAAAAATGAAAGGCTTCCCAATTCTTTTTATATACTAGCATTATCCTAATACCAAACTCAGAGAAAGATAGCACGAAAAGCAAAACTACTGTCTAATCTTACATAGGATCATAGATGCAAAAATCCCAGTAAAATACTGGCAATTCAAGTCCAGGAATATATTATAATAATAATAATATATCACAACCAAGTAGGGCTTAGCTCAAAAATATGAAGATGATCCACTATTAGAAAATTAACCACTTTAATTTGGAAAAGATATGTTTCAACAAATGTGAAGAAAGCTTTTCATAGTTCAAGGCCTATTCTTAATTTTTAAACATTCTTAGAAAACTGGGAATGGATACAGCTGTCCTTAACTTGATATATCAGAAATCTTCAGCAAAAATACTGCTTAACAGTGAAGCACTAGAATTATTCCCATTAAAGTCAGAAAAAAGACCTTACTTTCAAAAGAAATAATGATAAATAATTAAGACTAATAAGAGTTCATCAAGGTGACCAGATATAAAAATAAGAAAAACAATGAAAACAAACATATGATGCAATTTCTCAATTTCACTGTAAATCAAATAAACATGAATTAAAACAATGCCTAACAAATCATTATCAATGTTTTAAATTTAGTGATACAATGTGTTAGGAAAGAACTTGGCAACAGGAACTAGAAAAAGATCAATCCTTTGACTTCTGCTGAAACTCTATCCTAAGGAAATATTCCAAGACATATAAAAAGACATATGCATAAAGATGTTCACAGATGACTTTTATAGAAAAATCTGGAAAAAAATTTAATTCCCAAAAAGAGGGGGAATGAGTTAACTAAAGAATCATATAACTTACAGAAATATTGTTTTTTATCATTAAAAGATCTCTTAAAGTCTCTGTAGTAAGTGCTTAGTAAATAATATGTGAAAAACAAGACACATTTTTATACTTGATGTTACAACTACATAAAAATGCATTTGGAGAAAAGTGTCACAGGAAGTGTAGTACACAGTCGGCCCTCTGTATCAGTGGGTTTTGCATCCGTGGGTCAGTCAACCTTGGATGGAAAGGCCTACGATAGTTACATCTGTACTGAACATGTACAGACTTTTTTTTCCATGTCATTATTCCCTAAACAACACAGTATAACAACTATTTATGTAGCATTTACATTGTATTACGTATTATAAGTAATCTAGAGACGATTTAAAGTATATGGGAGGATACGCATAGGTTATATGCAAATAGTATGCCACTTTATATGAAGGACTTGAGCATCTTCAGATTTCGGTATCCATGGGGGGTCCTGGAACCAATCCTCCTGTCGATACTGAGGGATAACTGTAATCAAGAACTCAGACTCTTGAGCCAGAAGTTGTGACACCAAACTCTGGGCTATCACTGCCTAGCTGTATGACCTTGGCCAATTTATCTGATTTGCCTCAGTATTCTCACCTGTAAAATGGAATTTGCTAGTAGAAGCTGCCTCATAGGTTTGTTATGAGAGCCAATGAGCTAATATCTGCGAAGCTCCATGAACAGTGGTGTTGATACAGTTAGCCTCCAATAAATGTTAATGTGAATGCAGCATATTGCTTGTAGGCATTGTATTAGGGTGGTAAGATTGTGAGTATTTTCATTTCTATTTTCTAAATTTTCTATAATGTTATTATTTTTGTTTTATAGTAACAATAGATATTTTAATATACAAAAAAAACCCCACTTTTTTAAAAGGAGTCTTGTTTCTAGGCAAGGCTAACCTCTCTTCTCACCTATGGTCCTAATTCCACTCCCTCTTGCTTATCTAGGAGCTGGTTCCACCCATTATCTCCTTTGTGTTATCTCAAACTCCTCTACAGACTGACTAAATAAAAAGATTCCTAAACAGAATCTTTACTCCCTTCTATTCAGTGTCACACTTCTTAAGGAAAAACAGATTCACAGTAACTTTCTCCAATTCTAATTTCCCATTTGCTCTTCAGCATATTGCAATTGGAATTCTCCATCCATTATGCCACTCTAACAATGCAGCTAATTTACTTCATTGCCAAAGCTAATTAATCTTTCTTCTACTTACCCTATCAGAGAAGTTTTAACACTGCTATTCACTTTCTCCTTGAAACTCCCTCCCCTGTTCTGTCACATTTAGAAAGGAGGATGTGAGAGGTAGGAGGAAGCAGAGGGTTTAGAATTGCCTGTGTTAGAAACCGGAAGCTGCTATCTGCTTGTGTGTGAGATCAGGTCTGAATCCATAGACTGCAGAACCAATCCAGAAAGAAGAAGCAGGAGTGGTCAAGTGAGAAGAAAGTGGCTGGGGAAATTCAATAAGGGAACCAGAAAGCAAAGTGGGTCAAAGACAAAAGTACACCCTGAGTCCCAAGGGGAACAAAAGTCTAAAGACCCAGATAAAATTCTGCAGAATTCCTGTGAGCACTTCAGCTGAATTCTGTTCTCAAATCTCAGTGTGTGGAATCTTTATTTCCAGAACGCCTTAAGGATGCCTCCTTTATGTTCCTCAATACTACCCTCTCAGACTCACCTCTTTCTTCTCTGACTGTTCTTTCTCCCATTTAATCATCCAGCCTTCTTTCCATTTTCAGATATATTTACTGAATGACCACTGTATGCCAGGTATTGTGATCTGCCATGAAACTACACAATAAATAAGATAAAGTCTTTGTCTTCAAGAATTCACCTAATTGACATTTCTTTCTGTGACCATCTTATAAATGTGTTTCCCCAGGTTCTTGCTTAGACCTTCTACCATCCCCACCCGAGGCTCTAATGGTCTCACATTACCAACTATCTCCCTGGCTTCTTTTGATATCTTGTAGATATCTCAAACTCAAGATGGCCAACACCAGGTATTCATTTGCTACCAAACCAGAAGAGATCATTATGAACTTAGAAACTCCTAAGTCATCCACCAATCTCCCTCTCTTACACCACATAGATCCACAACTGGATGGCAATTCTTAACAATATCATCTCCTAAAAAGCTCTCATAATGGCACTTTGCTGTCTATTCCTTCTAACTCTACATTCATTTCAGGCTGTCATTACTTTGGAATAGCCTTCTAACTTTTTCCTGTGATCCAATATCTCCCCCTTCCAGTCCATCATTACTTCTGATATCAGAATTATTTCTAAAAGTCAAATGTATGTATTCCTTCTTTCGTTAAGATCCACCATTTTTCCTGTATCTATATGTTTTACCCCTGAATTCTGGACCTTTAGATTTCTTCCACATATTTCTTCTTCAGCTTTATCTTTTAACACCATGATGAGTAAACAGAATTGCTTATATATGTGATGAAAATAATAAGAATAATAAGAAGTTTTCACATATTGAGGTATATGGGGAAGCCACTCTTTTAAATCTGATTTGGCCTAAAACTTGTTTTTCCCAGAGCAGCCTGACTTACGGCCCACCAAATACACATTGTACATCTGCTTCAAACATTTTCTCAAAACAAAGAATGCACCCTTTAAAGATAGGAATGTAAGGTCTCCCTCTCTCTGATGCCAATACCAGTACGTCCGCGGAGACAAGCTTTTCTTCCCAGAGAATTAAGGTCAAGTTGACCTGCTGTAAAACTGCAGCAAAACATCTCCTTGTGATTTGGTGAGGGGTTGGGGGGGAGCTGTGTTCCTGTCAGGTATGTTCTTTGTTCTGAAGCGGTATACAACCACGCTGTAAACCATGCCACCCCGGAGTGCTTTCTTCCCTGTGGAAGGGACTGCTTCCAGACTAGTACTCACATTAAGCTCATTAAATGTCTCTCTGTCTTCCTTATCTATAGATTGGTTATTGATTATTTGTTCCAACACATATCTCCCAAACACAAGAAGTTTTAGTCATGCTCTATGTCTTTCTTTGCCCAAGATGCTCTCTTTTTTCCATCTGCCAAACATTGACACCTTTCTAAATTAGCTCCAATATTACTTGCTCTGAAAAGCCTTTCCCATCTCCAAACAGAGTTGTCCAATCTTTCCACTGAGTTCAGTGCTTAGAATGTACTTCTATGACAGAAGAATCACGTCTGTTTTCTATTTAGACACCTATTTAATATTTGTTTAGTTATCTCTCTCCAACATTGGGGTGAGCGCCTAAACCCAGAGGGTAGGGATCATGTACTTTTCATTTTATATCATCCTGTACCCAGCATAATGGCCACCACAAGTCTTTGCTGAAGGAATGAGTAACTCATAGCATAAATAATATTAGGATACAACACATATCTCAGTGAGAGGGCAGAGAAAATGCAGGTTGAGGAATGAAATAAGGTCAAAGGAGAAAGGAGGGAGAAATCAGGAAGAACCCACTGGTGCACACAGAAAACAAAGCTGACATCTAGAAAGGCAGCAGAGAATCAAAGGAGATGAGACAAAAAAGCAGCTGGAAAGAGTCCAATGGGACAAGGGATATCAGAATCCCAAAGAAGTCTTTGCAATTTGACTCCACAAATCCAAACAAGTCTCATTAGTTTATCATCTCAATATGGCTATACATAATTCCTAGGGAAAATACTACAAAAAAACTTACACTTGGCCAGCAAGGCATCCGATCAAAAAATTTCCCAGAGTATATGGGTCTGATGCGATCTGGAGGTTCTACTCCTGGTTCAGTGTTTTCAGCCTCCGTTTTCTCTTCAGGTTGTTGGGCAAACTGGCAGTCAGAAGGTTCTATCACCAAGCCCATTTGGGGCTCTGTATTCTTAGTTTCATCTGGCTCCTCTGCTTGGGGTAGCCCAATGTCCACCTCCACAGGAGGCTTCATCTCTGCACTGGGCTTCATCACCACACAGGTCGACTCTTTTTCCAGCTCCTCTCCAGGTTCCATACCCAAAGCAGGCTGCTTCCATATTGAAGCCTCTAACCCTTCAGAGGCACCAGCCACAGGACCTCTCCTGCCCCCCAGAGCCTGTGAACCTTCACACACCATGCCCAAAGAAGACCGTGTTATCCTTCCAGAACAATCCGCCAGAAGACGCTCATTTTCTAAACCCACTCTTCCCGGCAACGTACCCAGAGAAGGTTTTCTTTCCTGTGAGGCTGAGACCCTGTTGACTTCTAAATTATTATTCTCCGTGAGGGTTCTAGAAATATTCTGTCTTTTGAATCTCATTTCAAGCCCTTTGCTCAATGGAGATTTTGTTTCTCGGGATGCCATCCTCTCTTCATATTTATTACTACCCAAGGGGCTCTCATTCCATGCGGAATCTTCTTTTCTTAATCCCACTCTGAGCCCCAACTCCGTGGGAGATTTTGTTCCCATGAAGCCCCTCCTCTCTCCTAAATCATCCTTTCCTTCGTAGGTGAGTCCGCCCTTCATGCTCAGGGGAGATTTCCTTTCAGACACCCTCATTCCTCCAACGGCATTCATCTCTAAGGGCAAAGCTGTACCTGGCTCGAGGGAAGTTCCCAATTCCTTGGGGGGGCCCAACCGTTTGGGAGACTCCACTCTGATATTCTGCCCACCACCTAACACCTAGCGGAGTTCACAGGGGAAAAGGAGATGGAGGTCTGTTTACCCGGTTACCTAGGAAACATGGGCGTGGTTTGGCGCGCAATTCTTTCCCGAGCTGGTCTCCGCCCGTCTCTCCCTCTTTCTCCTGGGTCCGTTTCTCTTCCTCTCCCTTTCCCTACTTTCTTCATCTCCCTCTCTCTCATTCTCTCACTTTTTTCCCACTTCTTTACTAGATTTGGAGGACAAGAAAACTTGAAGGATGTGCTTTTGGGCACTAGAGCAAAGGCTCCCCAACTTCTCTCCAGTTTCCCAAGCAATGACGTCTTAGGATGGGTTCATCCATGGACCTCCTCCTGGCTAGCGGCCTATTAATTTTACTGGTGATTAGGGAGTAAATAACCCTTCTTCTGGTGGTGACCACAAACTTTAGGTCTTTCTTTGGGCAAGCACCTGCACACTGCATGTAGTTCTTTTAGCGCTAAAGAACTACTTTAAATTCTGTAAAGTTATATTTGGCAGCTGCGGTATAGAAACATTTTCAAGTCTTTCAGAACACTACTTTAATAACCAGGCTGTAAATAGCATTTAAAGTAAATACATTAAAGTTTGAGGGGCCAGGCCGGTGGCGTAGCATTAATCGTGCCCGTTCTGCTTCAGTGACTGGGGTTCAGGCAGTTCGGATCCAGGGTCCGGACATGGCACTGCTCTGCAAGCCATGCAGTGGCAGGCGTCCCACATAGAAAGTGGATGAAGATGGGCACAGATGTTAGCTCAGGGCCAGTCTTCCTCAAAAAAAAAAAAAAAAAAAAAAAAAATGAGATGTGTTACATAATAATAATGCATACTGAATTTTTAAAATATTGTGGCAAATTAAAACTGTTTCTAAGTGTGAGATTTATTTTTTTTAAGGTTCCATTTTTCCTTCCTCTCTCCAAAGCTCCCCAGTACATAGTTGTATATATTTTTAGTTGTGGGTCCGTCTAGTTGTGTCATATGGGATGCCGCCTCAGCATGGCTTGATGAGCAGTACTAGGTCTGTGCCCAGGATCCGAACCTGTGAAACCCTGGGCTGCTGAAGCACAGCGTGTGAACTTAACCACTCAGCCACGGGGCCAGCCCCTGACATTTTCTTTAACCTCTGTCAGGTTTATTTTCTTTTGTTTTGTTGTGTTTTTGCTGAGGAAGATTGCCCTGAGCTAACGTCTGTTCCTAATCTTCCTCTTTTTTGTATGTGAGTCGCTGCAACAGCATGGCCACTGACAGATGTGTGGTGTAGGTCTGCACTGGGGAACCGAACCCTAGCCGTAGAAGTGGAGCGCATGGAACTTAACCACTAGGCCACTGGGGCTGGCCCTCTGGCCGGTTTCAATGAAAGTGTATTTGGTGAATATTTGTCATGTTCTATACATATAAAGGATATAGAACATGTAACTTAGAAGTTGAATGGAATTTATAGGATTTCAATCTTTAAGAACTCTGTGAAAAACTTGTAAAATCCAAATATTTTTTTAAAAGTGATAGGGGATACTATTTCATATTTGTAAAGACTGTGTACTGTAGTTTTCTAGATAGTTAATATATTGTTCTCATCTTAAGCACTTTAAATGACTTGATAGTGTATAAATCAAGGTATGTTTGTATAAGGGTTCATTCAATTCTTTCATTTTACGAATATGTATTGAATCCCTACTTTGTGTCAGTGCTGGGAATACAATGGAATATAAGCCAATCCCTATCTCATGGAATTTATATTCTAGTGGGTATAAATAACCATCAAGTAAACCAATAAATAAGATCATTTCACATGGTGATAAGTGTTATGAAGAAAAGAATGCTTTGATGTGGAGGGAAGCCACTTTAGAATTAGTGGGCTTAGAAGTTCCTTAGGTGGGTGACATTTGAGCTGAGGCTTGCATGATGCCCTGCAGAGACACGAGCTTTTTAAACATGACTAGCTTAAGTTTCCATAGCCTTTTTCTCACTGCCTTGTCATCATGCCTACAATTCTTTATGTTAGAATTACCTTTTGGGTGGTCTCCAGACAGTGCCAGTTAAAATGTTACCATCATTACCACCTATGCAAAGATTCATTCTTCAACTACACAACGGAGGAAAGAGTTCCTGGAAGGGAAAGTAGGAGATATGGTGTGCTAATGGGTGATGGAGAGACGCAAAGTGCTGGGAATTCCTGGGTGGGTGTTTAGAGATTTGAAGGCAAAGGAAGCACTAAGAACAGTGTTCAAGTCTTTATGACTTTATTTAGGGCCCACCCATTTTATAGCTATTCTATCAACTAGTAGGATCCTACATTTGACACTAAAATGTATAGAATTATCAGTCCTCCTCAGTTATCTGGAGTTAGGAACAAACACAGGCATATTGTGACTGACAATATGAGAGCAAAGCTTACTGTGGCATTTCAATCTCTCCAAAATTACCACTGGATTTTAGAAGTGCTGGCCACCGGAGCAGCACTCTCCCAGGCAAACATTATGACTAAATTATAAAATATTGTGGAATGTATTCATGGAGGAGGTGAATTAAAAGACACAATTCGTAGAAATAAATAAACGGGGAAGCAAAATCCTAGAATGACGAAATGGGGAGTTCCCAGCAATTTATAAATTTCAGCATCCATGTGTTATCTGTGAGATCTTCTTAAGTCATACGTTCACCTTCTACATGTAATTAAGTTCACAAATATTTTTGGGGTCCTATTTATCAATCAACGGTCCTCTGTGAGGAAATGATGATTAAATTATGGTCCAAGCCCTTAAGAACTTCAAAATCCTGATGGGAATAAAAGTCTGAGTAGAAAGTCTAGGCACTCTCTAACGTTAAAATAAGGCAGCTATTAGAACTATTATAGACGGTAAAGCAAAGTATCATGAAACTAAAGGAAAAAGTTAACTAAAGCCAGTAGAAGTACCCTCAAATGCAGTCCAGACAGGCAGTAATGGTGTTACAGGTGGAGAAAAAAAGGGAACAAAGACGTCAAAATGAGAACAGGCAGGTAACATTCTGGGAACACAGAGTACATTGGTATGATTAGGGCACAAAGCAAGAGTTTGGGATACACGGAGGCTATAGAAATAGAATGAAAGAAATGTGGGCTGGGACTAGAGCTGAAGAACTTTGGACTCTATTTAGCAAGTAAGGAGATACCACTGAACATTTTCGAGTAGCAGAGTGACTGGCTAAAGTGTAAAGAAAGGATTGAAAAGGCAGGAAGTGTGTATTAACTCCAGTTTATATGAGTACTACCAGGGCCCAGGCTTTGGGATTACATCTCAGATTTAGGGATTAGAGAATTTGGGGCCATAGAATGGACAATTGTTTATGAGAGAAAGGAGTTGAAGATTTTGCTCTTTCAAGTCCAGGTGACTGGGAGGCTATTAATACCAGTCACCAAGCAGGAGCAGGTTTGGGGTGGAATAGGTTTGGTTTTGGGCATACTGTTGACATGCCAAAACTGATGCAACATATCCTATTTCCTGATTCTTCCTGGGATTGTCCAAGAGGTATCACCATGACTAACATATCATATTGGAACCATCCCTTGGGGATAAAGTGCCACAGATACCATTTACGTATGACACATCATGCTCTTCTGCTTAGTAAATGGGGAGTTGATTGGAAAGACTGCCTACTCAAGGGTTCAAATCATCTTCGTTACACAATACTGACTGAGCACCCACAGGATACCTTACCCCAAGTACACATAGTAGGCAATCATTATTGACGTTCTCACAACGGGGCTATAAATGGTACACTGCAAACTGAAAAGTAGCTCTTATCCTGTGGGAAAATCAATTTAACATTCTACCAAATTACAGAAGGAATTTTTGTTTTGTTTTGTTTCAGATGCCTGGCCAGAGACTGTCTATTGTGTGAGATTTAACCAAAGAAGACTGTCTTATGTAGGTCTGCAGTGGAAGATAATTAAAGTCTTGGCTTGTCTTTCACTGCGCTCCTGCTTAAGCACTCATTCTGGAGCCAGCCTGCAGGTTAGAATATAATTTCACGACCAACTCCACGGTGATTTTGCACAAGTTACTCAATCTCTGTGCCTCATATTCTTTACCTGTAAAACAGGCAGGCCAAACTCATTAATTGCACAACCATGACTTAAGACTCCTGGCTGCCAGGCACTCTGCTAAACCGACGGCGATGAGGGCCACTTTGGGGAGTTAATATTCTAATACAGGGAGGCAGACGATGAAGTTAGTTTCAGAGCGAAAGCTTTAGTGTAAGAATAAAATGGAATAATTCCTGTAAAATTAAAAGGGACACTGAATAAACCTAGCTATTATTTTAGGATTTGCCCCTCCCCACCAGAAAGAGGTAAACGCTCAATAAAAGCAAGTTGTTATTTGAAAATTTCCCCGCCTAAAGACAACTTTAGGGATGCGGAGGGTCTCATCCTCTTCCCTGCAGTAAATTGCACCAGGTCGCCTTTACCGACCCAACCATCCCCAGGGACATGTTGGGGGGCTCTCTTACGGTAGAAAAGTTCCCTCAAAAAAGCCCCTTAGCGAGTAGCCACGGTTGGGGCGCTAGCAGGTGGGGTAAGGGGAACTGTGAGCTCATACGCACAGAGGGAACTTCGCCGCCCCACACAGGGGGCTAGGAACAAACCCAAGATGTGCGGGGCTTCCCCGAGAGCTGGGCGGCAATAGAGTTTCCCACCACCCCTCCCTCCAGAAGCCCGTGACCGCCGCCCAGATAACAATGGCGCCGATGGGGGCGGGACCGCCCGCGCCTCGGGGAGGGAAGAAGGGAGGGGGAAGGCGGCGGGACCCGAGCCCACCGCTCGGGAGTCACGTGACACTCCCTGCCCCGCCCCGCGAACTCGCCCAGGGTGGGAAGGCTTCGGGAAGGGGCGGGGGAGCGGATGGAGCGGTCGGACCGGCGACGAACGGAAGTGACGAAGAGGCGTAGCTGGCTACGTGCAGCGACGTGGCGGCGAGGCCGGCGCCGGGCGGCGGAAGTGGCTCCGGCGCTGGGACTTGAGTGTTTGTGTTTTGGTTCGCGAGGGAGCCGGCGGCCGGCCTGAGGGGAGGAGG